AAGAACCTGGTGAAGAAATGCCTGGAGCTCTTCACTGAGCTGGCCGAGGACAAGGACAACTACAAAAAATACTACGAGCAATTTTCCAAGAACATAAAGGTAGGTAAAAGCTATTGTGTGATATTCCATTATGTGGAGAACAGTGTTTAAGCTAATTGAGGACTACCTCGTCTATAATGGTGAACTTAAATGGCTTGTGCCCTTTAAGAGGAAAGCTTTAATTGTTTTTCCTTTACAGCTTGGCATCCATGAGGACTCTCAGAATCGCAAGAAGCTGTCTGAGCTACTGAGGTACTACACCTCTGCCTCAGGAGATGAGATGGTCTCCCTGAAAGACTATGTCACCCGAATGAAGGACAACCAGAAACACATCTATTACATCACAGGTAGGGAAACGGGTCAACTCCAAACACCAATCAGGAGCATTTTAGTAAACATCTTTTGAGAGTAGTTTAGTTGTTGGGTTACAAAGATAGTGACTTCATTAAAAAAAAAAAAGTACGGCATCACTAAACCTACCTTGACATCTCTGCAGGAGAGTCCAAGGAGCAGGTGGCCAACTCTGCTTTTGTGGAGCGTCTGCGCAAGGCTGGCCTGGAGGTGATATACATGATCGAGCCCATTGATGAGTATTGTGTCCAGCAGCTCAAGGAGTTTGAGGGAAAGAACTTGGTGTCTGTGACCAAAGAGGGCCTGGAGCTGCCTGAGGATGAAGAGGAGAAGAAGAGGCAGGAGGAGAAGAAAGCCCAGTTTGAGAACCTCTGCAAGATCATGAAGGACATTCTTGAAAAGAAGGTGGAAAAGGTGGGCATCTAATTTTGAACATATGTAGTTTCCTTGATGATTCTTGATCTAATGATATCTTTTTCGGTAAAACTATTGAACTGCTATAATCATGCTCTTCACTGTTTTTCCAGGTTGCTGTTTCAAACAGGTTGGTCTCCTCTCCCTGCTGCATTGTCACCAGCACCTACGGCTGGACTGCCAACATGGAGAGGATCATGAAGTCCCAAGCTCTGAGGGACAACTCCACCATGGGCTACATGGCTGCTAAGAAGCACCTGGAGATCAACCCAGAGCACCCTATCATCGAGACGCTCAGGCAGAAAGCGGAGGTTGACAAGAATGACAAGTCTGTGAAGGACCTGGTGATCCTGCTGTTCGAGACTGCACTGCTGTCCTCCGGCTTTTCATTGGATGATCCACAGACGCATGCAAACCGCATCTACAGGATGATCAAACTTGGTCTTGGTAAGTCTGAACAGATCTAGGAAATACAGTGTGGTAAACAGGATTTTAAAACCTGACCATAAAGAAATTAGATGCAAAGATTATAAGAATTAAGAAGCAGACAGGAATGGCTTAGTTCATACTGCTTTAAGGGAAGCATCATATATTGGGGGGGAAAAAAGTTTAGATGTGCAAAACCTGTAATTTTTAAAAAAGGCTACAAAGAAGAGTGCTAATTGTTGAAGGTAACCTGAAAAGGAACCATATAATGTTCTTTAAATGGTAGTGGTGGAAATTGCTCACCAGTGTATTCTCTCCAGGTATTGATGAAGATGATATGACAACAGAGGACACCACTGCTGCTCCAATTGAGGACATGCCCCCACTAGAAGGGGATGATGACACATCAAGGATGGAGGAAGTTGACTAAGAAACTGTAAATGTTGGATAGAAATAATGTAAACACAACTGTAAATGGTTAAAGTTGAATTCATTAGGAATGAACCTGAAATGCATATTCATTCCCCCTTATTTTCTCCTTTCTTCATTCCATTTTCTTGGCATTGGATGGCTGACCACCCTTATGTTTTCTTTTGTATTTGAAATTTGTTCAGATGTATTTTTGTATTTATTTGCATTCCATGTTCCTTGTTTAAGTGCACTGTAAAATTTCTACAATCTTGTTGAATTGTAAGTTGCAAATAAAAGTTTAATATGTGAAGCAGGTGTTTCTGTTGTCATTTCCACATCACAAGCCTTTAATGTCAGAGATGTTAATTTAGCTTTTGTAATCCAGAGCCACTACTTGTTCTCTGAATTTCAAGTATTGGCAGCAATGTTTTCTATCCATATGAGGGGAAAAACAGGGGGAGGATCTGTAACCTAATCATTGTTTGAATAGCAAAGATTAAGCTTTTGTTAATTTGTAATATCAACTCCCACCATGGCCATTTAATTAAAGGGCCACAAGATCTTGGTCAGGAGTAATATTGATCAAGTCAATCCAGTAAAGCTAAAAATGCTCATTAAGTTCAGGAGCATTTCAAGTTGGGAGGTGTGGGCCCTTAATGATGCTGGGGGTGCAAAATCAAATGATGGCATAGCCAAGAAAAGACTGACCAGGACTAGAATAGAGGATCTGATTTATAGCAGGACTGTAATCGAAATGCTGTTGTGGGATTATTAGCAAGGTTGGAAACGGTGAGAACCTAACCTTGGGATCCTACCACAGTTGAACTTGGAAGTGGAATTAAAATATCTGCCCGAGTAGTGTACAACCACATTAAGGAAAAGGCATGGATATGGATGGTTACAGGGATGGCCTGTATTATATTCAAAATAATTGCTTACACCAATATAGCACTTTTCTGGACACTACACTCAAAGCTCTTTACAGGTAATGGGGACTCCCCTCCACCACCACCGATGTGCAGCCCCACCTGGATGATGGGACAGCAGCCGTAGTGTCCAAGAACGCTCACCACACATCAACTATTAAGATCCATATGAAAATGGATCCCAGTGCTACTTTACCAAATTCTGTAAAGCAAACGTATTTACGGGGAAAGAATAAAGAGAATGCAATTATCACAGCTGTAGAATAACACACTGTTCGTTTAGACACTCATCAGCTACAGTACCATACAGCTGGGATAAGAACCAAATGTAGAACAGAAAGCAAACTAGAGAGACAAGAATGATTGCACACCACAACTCCTTCCAATTGTACAGCAGTAGTTTAAGGAGTCACACACGGCAGTTACACATACAGTTGTAGCACTGGGCATATACAGTGTGTATGCAAAGTCACCACCCCCTTTCAAAATGTTCACCTTTTGTTGCCCTAAAGCCCAAAAAGAAGACAAATCAGATTTTAGAGAAAGCAAAATTTCTGAAAAAAAAAAGAACAACTGGGTTGGATAAGAGAACACCCCCCCTGAGTTAATACTTGGTGGAAGCACCTTTTGCTTGAATTACAACCTTGAGTCTGTTTGGATACATCTCTACCAACTTCACACACCTAGAGGGAAGAATATTTGCCCTTTCCTCCTTACAGAACTGTTCAAGCTCAGTCAAACTGCGTGGTGACCATTGATGGACTGCCCTCTTCAAGTCATTCCTAAGATTCTCGATGGGATTCAGGTCGGGGCTCTGACTAGGACACTCAAGAACATTCACCTTCCTGTCCTTTGGCCACTGTACAGGCGCTTTGAGTCATTGTCATGTTGAACCATCTTCCCATTTTCAACTTCCTGGCTGAGGGCTGCAGGTTTTCTTCAAGCATTTGCCTGTATTTTGCACCATCCATCTTCCCTTCTATCCTGACAAGTGCCCCAGTCCCAGTGGAAGAGAAACACCCCCACAGCAGGATGCTGCCACCACCGTGCTTTACTGTAGGAATGGTGTTCTTTGGATGGTAAGATGTATTGGGTTTTCACCAGATGTACCGTTTTGCATTCCAGCCAAAATGTTTGATTTTGGGCTCATCCGACCATAGCACCTTTAAGGTGCTTTTAGCAAAATGTAAACAAGACTTGATGTGGCTTGATGCACACAATGACCAGTCTTTGCCATAAATGCCTGTAGCTCACACAAAGTTGCCATCGGCCTCCTGGTAGCCTCTCTGATCAGTCTCCTTCTTGCTCGGTCATCCAGTTCGGAGGGAGGGCCTGATCTACTGTATGTAAGGTCTGGGTGGTGCCATATGCCTTCCACCTCTTAGTGATGGTCTTGACTGTGCTCCATGGGATACCTAAAGCCTTTGAAATCTTTTTATACCCATCTCCTGACTTGTGCCTTCCCACAACGTTATCTATAAGTTCTTTTGAAAGCACCTTTCCACCCATAGTGCATTCTTTGCTTTGAAATGCACTTCCAAGCAGTAGAATCCTCTAGAAACAGCTGCTTTTATTCTGAACTAATCAAAATCACCAAAATACCTGAGCAAGTTTACAAATGCAATTGTAAGGGGGGTGTTCACTTATCCAAATTAGATATTTTACTGTTGTAATATCAATTAATTTTCAGAATGTTTTAGAATTCTATTTTCACTTGGCTAATGTTGGCTACTGTGTGTAAAAATGGAACAAGCTTAATTTAATTTGTTTTTAAGAGTGTCATACAACAAAAGGTACAAATGTTGAAAGAGGGTGGTGACTTTCTATACCACCTGTATCTGTTACACAAGTATAATACATTCTGGAAACTGATTAAATCGTTTCTAGTTTAAATCGTAAACGTTTAAGATGTTTGGATCATGACTGACATGAGCAGATCTAACCGAGTCCCAGAAGACAGTTTCTGCAGGCTGGTCCACAGGATGAGCCAGATGCACAGCTTATTTTTTCAATAAACCACTGTCCTGTGACTTCAGCAGTGTGCACCCTGTTGATCAACCGTGTTGCTGACAAATGTTAATCAGCATGATGTATTTGTCATGTCTGTTCAATAAAATATCAGTGCACCTGCTAGAGAAAAGACTGCATTTGTTGCAGTTATAGTTGTTCATTTGATACTCAGTGTACTGTATATTTAAATCAATGTAAACACTACACAATGCAAATTTAACCCACGTTTTTTACTTGAAAAATTGATGCAGTGTGCTCAGAGGAAGGGAAAGGGTTGATTCGCCAATTTGATAAGCAAGGGGTTCTTTAGAAAAATAAGCTTTTATCAAGGATGATCATCCTTGGTCCTAGAGTGTCCCAATCCAAAAGATTCTACTCGTCCCCAGTCTTCAGTTTCTAAACTTTTCATTTTGACCACCAAACAGGTCAGTTATTAGGTATTCGAGAAGTTATTGGAATGACGAATGGGAACAGTAGCTCCCATGGATCACTTAACTGAAGTCATTGACTATATTGATTAAAACTCACGTTCTTTGTAAATCGTTATACATTTATGTTTTATTAGTAAAAACGTGAGTTTTCGTACTGCGTTGTGTCAGCGGGCGCCTCGAAGAAGGCGAGTGTCCAAAGGGATTCACGTGTCGGCAACGGGAGCACTACCAATCGTTTGCGAAACTTAAAACTGTCTTCTCCACTATTTTCTGCAATACAGAATGCAATGTATTAACTGTCAGTATTGAATATTAAGTGTGAGTACCTACAGTAAACAAATGCTAAGCGGATAATGAAGCCTACTGTAAATTATATGAATTAATTCCAACACGAGTACAAGCAACACCGTGGCAACAACAAGCAATATATTCCGAGGAGACTCGTGGTAACAGAAGAATTAATAAACCGCCAAAAGCACCACAGGCCGCACAGGTAATTCCAGGAACCGTCACAAAAAACGCGCCTGCGAAAAAAAACCAAACATGCTCCAATAGGCTTGTTTTAAAAAAAAATGGTTATTGATATAAATATTCCGTTTCAGTGTATTTTATTTCCATTTACCTCAATTAAAAGCACTTTTTTCTTGTACTACATGATTCATTTTTGCAGGTAGCCCACTATTCGTTTTTAACTGGCGTTCACACGCAGGGCCAGTCCAACTCAGTTTGCACAAGGGGAGGGATTCTTATTACTTTCCCCTACTGTAAACCTAATTATTGATAAAAGAGTCACAGTCCATTGTTTTGTTTCATTTGGAATATCAATGCAAACCCAAGACCAGTGTCACGCTTCGTTTGTGCCATAACACTGTCCAGAATGGCACCACAGAGACCAGCTGTTACAGACGTTTTCCAAAGCAAACCCAATCCCAATACGTCTCTATGTTTTGTATCCCGAGCTGACGGGTCTAGGACTCCAAAGTTGAATCTCGGTAAGATCCAATGTTGCGTTCAGTCTGCATGTACTTCTAGTTTGACAAAAATCCTTTGAGCGTTCTTGCTTAGATGCATCAATTTCAAACATTTTTTTTAATTACTTATAAAAAATACTCCAGGTAAATAATACACACAACTTTTCACTCATCGCTTCTTGCATACAACAGTTGAGTCTAAATATTGTTATATCGTGCAATATCCTTTGAGACCTGTAAACCACAACAAAACGTACAGCAATACTTCAGGCAAGGCGGCTGATTGATGTATTATATGACTATGAAAGAAAAAGTCCAACGTTAAAATTACAGCTATTAGAGTACCTCTTCTCTTTCGCTTGTAAATAACCCCCTTCAAAAAATATCAACGATGCGCTGGAGTCCGGGCTTCCCGACGTGCAGCGTCCTTCTTTGGCCTAAGGGGGCGCCAAACGCAAGTGTTTGTAGAAGGCAGAATGTCGGCTAGGCGCAGAAAGCGGAGGCAGAAACAGGCGGAGCAAGGTAAAATGCAAAGTATTAACAACACCTATTTAAATTAGTCTTACGTGCTTAAAATGCACGTTTTCCAGACCTTGATGTGCGGCTGCATTTTGCCCCGCAGTAAGCGATTAATTGTGTATTTATTCATCAGCTTTCTCTGCTCTTCACCCGGAATTGTTTCTAGCCTTTTTTTTTCCAACGAAACAAACATTTATTTAATTTTGCGGCGACGTTAAGGAAAATAAAAATCTCGCCGTCTATTCGGCATGTACAGTATTTCAGAAAACCGATACTGAAAATGGTACCGCAGGCATAGCTACACATCTGTAACATGTAAGTGTGCACCTGTAAATACATCGAACTGAATTGTGAATCAGGGAGGCGACACCAAGTGCGCAGGGCACGTGTTTACAAATAAAGTTTTCACCCCACTTGACCAGAACTGCTTTGAAGTATTCTGTCGCTTTCCTAAACTCTGGATCCTTGTTGTAGATAGAAATAAGAACTATATTTTGATGCTCAGTGTATGTATAGCGGAAAAGAGCACTATTCTAGCACTATGCTAATGCAATAGGGATGCTTACAGAGAGATTTGTTATTCTGGTGAAATAATTCGGGTTTCATGAAGACGCCTTTGTGTTAAGGCTTTATGATTTAAATGGTGCTGCACAAAGACATCCCCAGTGCTGACTGTAATATAAGATGATATTTAGTTAAGAGCTGACTTGTATTCTGTTGCCCATGTATTCCTAACAGGGTTTAATGACGGCAAAGATGCAAGGAAAACCTCAGACTGTGTGGACAGGCTGGCATTCAAGTACATGGTGAGAATGTCATAAAGCACGTGTTGCATTAGAAAATGTGCAGCCAGGAGAGAAAGGTACTTCTGTTATAATTTTATTATTTTATGTCGTGACAAATTAAAGGGCAATTTAGTGACTTCAGGCACTGTCTCAGCCTCTACCTATGTTAGGGTTTCATTTCAACAGTGACAGCAGCACTGTCATTGTCCAGATATCTACCAGGGGCACTATTACAGATGGGAAATTAACTTATCTTAATTGAAAACCCCAATGAACAAAAAATCTAAAAAATTTTCTTAAAGGTCAACATTTTATTTGTCCTGGAAGATAGTTAAACATAGTCTGGGGCGAAAGATGCCAAAGAGGCAGGAACCGAGAGTAGCAGTGTGGGTTCAGTGGGAGACAAAGAAGGGCATCGCCTGCTGAGTACAACCTTGCGCAAGTTCAGACAGATAAGGAAGAGGCTTTGCAAGGCTTCAAAATCCCTCTGTCATAAATGCTCTGAGAGTGCAATTCAGAGCAGTACAGGTAAGGACTGCAGCATCAGAGCGTTAGGGAATAATTCTGGATCAAATGAAATGCCTGGTAGTAGAAGTGACAGTGAAAAACTGAATTAAATCAAAATCAAGGTTGATTACTGTGCATTTCAATGTCACTTCTCTCCCTTAAAGGACGATCTTTAGAGGCCGAGCACAAACATCACTACCATGTAACTCGTTGCTCTCCATTGTGGCAATAATTTCTTCTGGCTTCCTGTATCTTCCCCAGGAGAAGTGTAAAGTGGAATCCAGCACAGACTCCGAGTCGGACACAAGCCCCGAGGTACTGCTTGAGATCTACCACAACACAACAGCCAGAACTCATCCACCAGCCTGACTTACAGATGCAACATTAAGTGTATATGTAAGAGGCAGAGCATTGCAAAAGTAATACATTTATTTCTGATTTAGCTGTCAATCTGTAAACAGAAACAAAATAATTGAGAGGTCCTTTCTGGATGCCTTATACCACATTTATATTGACTATAGAGATCGTTCCCTGCCCTGTGGGGAAAATATCTCTCAAAAATATTCTTTAGCATCCTGCCACCAGGCCCCTTCAGTCTCATGTAGATAAACAGATCTCACATTATGAATCATACCTTGCAATCTGTCTGGAAAGTGTCATCATCAAGACCAGGATATTTGCAATATTTTCCTGAAGGCGCTTTAAAGAGGTATAATATGCGCACCGCCTTTTCAAATTCCAGGTGGGTCCAAAAGACCCTACCCCCCATTTTCAAAAACGGTAAGATATTTAAATACTCCATGAATCATTCGTTCAACATTAATAGGGCACCAGACTCTACACCATACTGTAGATATTTAAATATACTGTACAGTACCTTTAATATCTACGGTGTAGTCTGCATAGAGAACTACAGTACTTCAGTGCAATTTCATTTGTCACATTATTGAAAATCCACTTGTAACCAGATCTGTCTAACCACGTTTGTAACACAGAGAAGTCTGTGGCCCGAGGTTTTAAGTATTGTGTCAGATTTGACCCTGCTTTGCCACATAGCTAACAGAAGATTGAATGTTTCATTAGAACCCACCTGGCTTCCTACGACTGTGTCAGTTTTACTTTTGGAAAAGGCAGCTGCTATCTTGAACCGTAGCTTTAATGACTGCTACTGTGCAGTTTAACTCTTGGTGCAGCAGGGAGCCGTTTTTTGGAGACCAACAATCCCTTTTCAGGTGCTGTGCAGGTTCAGGTGCCGAACCTTTCCTGATCAAAAACTGTGAGAATATTTCTGGAGCTGGAATGGGTGCTTGTATTGTAACTTTCTGAGCAGCAAACCTAAATAAGAAATGTGGATTGTATTGTTTCGGTCTGGGAAGCTTTGGCAGTGAGTCTTATGTCCCAGCTCCCCTGCTATGTCTCTTATGAATGTGTCCTCCTGTGTCTGTCCATTCTGGTTCTCACTGTCTGCAAATGCAGCAGGTTTTCTGTCTCATGCAGCTGTCCACTTGAAAGAAGGGGTACATTAGTGTGACTAAGGTTATTTAGACTGATCTGTCTCTCCTCCACAAGTCATAAGCTGTTGATGATTTAGAGAGGCTTCTGGATTCCTGACTAGAGAAGGCTTGATTTCATGTTTGGTCTCACCCATGGATGCAGAGCACCAGCGCACACTCACGGATATAGTAATTGGCAGGTAAATGGTGTGCTTTGGTGTTCTTCTTTTGCCTAGGGATGTGCCTCCAGTACACCTGAGAGTGGAGCTACCAGGAAGGTGCTGTCTTTGGCGCAGCAACACAGAGGCCGGTCTTCCCTGCCAGTGAGTGCGATTCTGAATACTGCGATGTGCAAGGAAAACGAAAAATCTTACCTGTCTGGTTTAATTTGAGTGATCATCCATCCCGTAGAAAAAAAAATGATATACTCAAAAGCAGAAAAAAATGGGACCCACTAGGTCCTGCTCCTGGATAGCTGGTGTGTCTGGTGTGTTTTCAAAGTACATGCTGATGAACAACTGAGAATGCCTATTATGGTCTTTTGTCCCATGAAGGCAATAATGACCTGATTTGGGTTAAGATCTGAATTGGGCTGAAAACCTGAAGACATACTGGTTCTCCAGGACCTGGATAACCCATCCCGGTAAGAGCCTTGGAATTGTGTTGGGCAGTCTCCATAGTCTCGAGTCTTGCCTAAAGCCATTGATGTGCAGGGTTGTAGCACCAGTATTAATAATCCTGAGTTAAAATCAAAGGAGTTCAGGTGTATTCTTCTCCGGATCTGTTCCAATGTCAGTTCTGCTTGGATTTTTCACCTGCTTCTCCACAGTCTTGGGACCCCTATGACGGCAGCTCTGAGGACTCCTCGGATACGTCCAGGTGTTCCCGGAGCCGAATCCAGGGGGGCAGTGGATTGAGGTCCAGGACCCGGTCAGTGACCGCCGTGCCAGCCTCCTCTCCCAAGGCCCCGGGGAAGAGAGGCGACTCTCTGAAACTGGGTGAAATACAGCTGCCTTCTGATGTCCAGATGAAGTCCTCCAGTGACTCGGAGGTGAGATTTGGGGAACCTGTGTCCCCAAGGGGTGGCAAGGACTGGAGGGAGATGCCTGTGGACTCAGGAGTGCATACAGAGGCTTCACTCTCCACACCCGGACAGTTTGCCTTCCTAAGCTTCACCCCAGCCCGGCTGCCCGCAAGCACCTCATACAGGAGCTGGACTGGGTCTCTCAGAGCACACCCCAGATCTGAGGAGGGGTCCCCCGGAAGTCCTGAGCCACTAGCGTTCCTCCCCAAGCGCAAGTCGGGGTTCCCTGGGGCCGAGTCTGGCGAACGCTGCCTCAGGAAGAAACAGCGCACAGTTGAACTGGAGGTAGGCTGTTCTGTTCCCAAGTCCCAGTCCAGTTGAGGAGTGAGACGAGTACTTATTACTGCCGGCAGCATGATGTTTCTTGGTTGTGATATTGTTATTGGCTCTGACATTAGGTGCCTTTAGTAATGGATTTTACCATTTCTTTCAGGACACAGAGTGAAGAACTGAAATCCTTTCTGCTGTTGATGAACAACACATAATTGTCTGAAGCAGTTCATGATGCACTTACTTTCCCAATGCACTTTTTGTTTTCCTTAGACATTTGAGTTGTATGATTTTGAAAATTGTTACAATCACAAGGGTAATCAAGGACCTTGTTTTTTTTGTGAATGCGGTTTATTTGCATGATAAAAATCACACAATAAAGTTTATCATGGGTGAACAAATTCTAAAAGCGTTTGAATACTTTCAACGTTTTAAAACTTTTACATTATCTGACAATTTACTATATTTGTTTGCCTTTTATTTTTCAAGTCTTCCTCCTTTATTCCAACAGTTTTCCCTTAGAAACTGTTACAAATGTTTTTTTGAGGAACTAAGAGGAGGCATTGCAGGACTTTCACCTCAATGTAAGAGTTTCCTTCGTGCAGCTCTAATGCATGGCTGGATTGTTGCAGCTTGAGACAGATTCCATTTACTGTGGCTTTAAATTTAACCTGGATTAAATAGGTCCCATAGGTGTGATTTTGGGATTAAATAAGTCCCATAGGTGTGATTTTATACGAAACTGTCCCAATCTATCTACACATTTCTACTACTGCTGTTAAATTCCACAGTGGCTAAAATGAATGGCTAATAATGGCAAAAGTTGTATTTTTGTTCTAAAATACCATCTTCAAACCTCAAGATCTAGTGCAGATCAAATAGTATTTTTGGAACTCTTTTACAATTTCTTATTGGAGCCACCTATCAGGGCTTTTGGTTAACCCAGGACATGATGCTGTAGTAGGTTCAGTTAAGATGCCTGCCTGCTCTGCACTCAGTGAAGTGACAAATTGTCTGTGAAGATTAAGGGGAGGTAGTGCCAGATTCTATCTACTTGCAAAAGTACTTAGTTGCTTTCCTACAGACCACGAAACACGTAAAGTCATGTAATATCCAATGTTTATATAACGGACCACACAACTGTATATTCTGAAAGAGCAATTGATGACAACAGGAACATACCATCTCACAGCATACTGTCCATTTGGATTATGCATTTTAGATGTAACATTCTTGCATGTTGGTCCCAGCATTTATAACTATTACAGTACCAAGTTCAGAAGAGTTTAAGGATGTCCTTTTGTCAAAGTTGTATAGGGTGTAATATATACAATTATTTCTGATTTAGTTTTTGAGCTTCCTGGTGTAATACTTTTATTGATCATTCTTTGTTTTTAATCAGAACATGACTGTAATAAATACTACTTCATCACCTATCATTAAAAAATAGAAGCACTAAATCCAGGAATATCACAGACACTTTAAACAATGAACCCACAAGAAAGGCTCATATCAACAGAAAGTGCTCTCATCCTTGTTCAAGGGGGTTGGAGTGATGGAAGAATCTTTAGTTCAAGTCTGCTTTTCACCTCTAGAGGGTGCATTAGATTAATAGTTCTGGTACATTACTACACTCATCCAGTAAAGGAAGGAATGACACCAAAGACAATGGAGACATTTTATTATGTATTTTGACATGGGTAACACGCACTTCTCAACTTTTCATTTTCTCTCCATAAAATATGCAGATTCCTTCATAAAAACCATCCTTGCCAACTAACCCTCACTTCCTCCATCTCAGGCCATCCGCCAACATTTCTCAGACACTCTGATCTCCCTTTCAAAGTATAATGAGCTTATATAGTTCTAATGCAGTTAAACTGTTGACTATGGTTATTTGATTTTCCTCTAGAAAGTTATAGTTAAACGTTGGAGCTGTGATGCGTTTACTCAGTGCAAAGCACAGCCACTCCTCGCTCATAGAAGCTGTGGGGGTCCTCCTTGGTTGCGATATCAAAGTCGACCGTAAAGATCAGATCAGCACGAGTGAAATTCAGGTACACAGGCAGAGTAACCTAAGAGGAGAAAGCAAAAAACATTAAGGACTGTTGCCTTATTGAAAGTAATGGATTGTGTTCAAATGGCACACAAAGGTCTACATTGTGTTTTCGCTAAAAGCAGTCTATTTTTCTTGAATAAGGCATGTGAACAGCTGTGCACTAGAAGAAGTATCCTGATGTTTAGGATACTTTAGGTTTAGGCTTAGAAACTCGCTGAGGAAATTGGCACAAGTTAAATAATGATGCAAATATTTTTCTTCAAATTACAGAAACGTTTTCTGATAGAATGTCCTGGGTTTCACCGTGGGATGGACAAAAGGATATACAATTTGTGATTTAATTTAATGGTTTTTGACGCTTCAATGTGGCTCTATCACTTTTTTTTGTAGATTTTATGCAGAACATTATCCAAATTACGGAATTTCACGTTTTACAGAATTGTCTCCAATTTCAGTTATCACAAACTCTTTGAAAATCAAAAGTCACAATGCTCCTATGTTAACAAAAGCAATGCTTTTGAAAAAACGTAATTTGCTCTTCAGCTTGCAGCAGTATTTGGGAATGCTGGTTATTAACTGATCACATTCTTTGCTTCTTGGAAGTTAATGGCAAAATGTGAGCATGGAGCATCTGGCAGCAAGATCTCGTTCATCCACCAGTGGGGTGAAAAGGGGCAAAGTGAGGGATTCTTTCCTCTTCCAAAACCAGTAATGGGAATTGACAATACTCTTGCTTAATGATGTTTGTATTAGCAGGAAGTGAGGGGGAGCACAGAAGAGCTTGAATACAAATCTAGAACAATCAGATGATGGGATTAGTACTGATGCTGGCAGGCCTGGCCCTAAGGGAGACGGGAAAGGACAGCAAGGCTCACCGTGTTGGCCTTCCTCTCGGCACTCATCTGTTTAATCCAGCGCAGCTGAGTGAGGGGCAGCTCTGTGGAGATGGCGGTGGACAGGGACAGCTTGTTGTTACTGCAGGTGGCACCCTGGAGCTTCAGACCTGGGGGCGACCAAGTGTTAGCATAACGGAAACGGAGGCATCCGATGACATCAGAATACCAGGGGTTTCACTTTCCATGCCAACTCATGACACACATGGCCTGTGGGTGCTATATACTCTTAGAACATTTAGATGAGCAAAAACACTGCAATCACAAAGTGAAGGCAGATCATTTATTTGATGCTGTCGACGAGCCAAGCTGCCACAGCTGCAGGACCTCAAACTGACCTTTGATGCCAAAGCTGCAGGCATCCAGGGCGGCACCCTGGGACGTGGTGACATTGACCTCCAGACACAGCTCCTCCAGGGACCAGCTGTTGGCTTGAGCCACGTACTGACGTGTGGCTGTAATGTAGGCCTCTGGAACAAACAGGCTTCCCAGACAAACATGGATATTCTGGAAAAACACAAATGATAAAAAAAGTAAAGAAGGCTGACTAGCAGCATAATTAAAAAAGTCTGAAACGGAAGAAGATGCTCTTTGATTAGAGATGCATCAAGTAAAAAACATTATGCAACGCATTGTGTAGCAATGCAATTAGCTGCAGGTGAGATCTAAAGGATTTTCCATTCACAGGAAGCACTACCTTCAGCTCCTTTGCTCCTCCGCTGGCTGCTCCCTGGGAGATCAACTGCAGCTGCTTCACCCGATCGCTGAAATCAGCCACCCACTGGATTACAGTCATGGAGGCTGGGACTGTGTAGCGAGACCAGCTGTGAGGCAGGATGCCTGGAAAACAAAAGAGTCTGTCAGAGATGGCAGCTACATTGCCTAAGTCACCTAGGATTCATACAGAATGAGTTAGTGTAATGTCAGACTCCCGTACGCCTTGTGTTATCACTTCTAGGTGTTAAAAAGCAACAACATTCAAAAATACATTCATTAAATAAGCAGGTGTGCTGGGTGGGTAATAAAACAAAGACGGTGATTCCTAAGGTATTTCAGCTAAACAGGACAAGATAAGGGCCCTGGGGTTTTGCTCAGGAACCTACCCTTGACCAGGTCGTTGATGAGCGTGCGCAGGTAGTTGGTCTGCTTCTTTTTGCCCTCGCACACCTGCACCACATCTGCCAGGTCCTGGCGCACATCCTGGAGCAGTCGCGCGCCCATCTTCACCTCCCTCTCAAAGAAGCGGAACAGGGGGTCCTGCCGGGCCAAAAGGACATCAGTTCATAGCTACAGCAGCAACACTTAAACCACTGGCAGCCCACTCCAACACAGAAGCACACATGCACTGTGGTCTTATAAATTCACTCCACTATTCAGAGCCTTGTAGGTTAGTCTATACTTTGAGATGTCCACATAAGAGCTAAAATTACGTCTTTGAATTGGCCCCTACGACAAGATAAGAGAGGTGGAAAAGAGGCTGGTCTGGAGAGTCCCTGGTTGCTGAGAGAGGATCCGAGCCACATGGAGGAGCCTCACCTTGATGTTCTCGACAGTGCGTTTGAGAGGGTTGACAGACTGGGGGATGAGCTGCAGCCAGTTGCAGGCAGTGGTGTGCAGGGTCCTCATCCACGCGGGCTGCCCGTCGGACGTGGAGCTCGTGCGCTGCTTCTTCTCCGTCTCATAGGCGAGGTCATCCTCATCCTCCAGCATCTGCATTTTCAGCATCTTGCCCATCATGTCAATGCCTGAGCCCCAGCAGTATGGGCAGCAGGTTGGAGGGAGGGGGGCAAGGCAGGGAAGTAAAACAAAATTGAAGCACACCAATGCATTACACTAATAAAAAAATGATAACCGTCTTGGCAAAAAATGAAAGAAAAAAGCACTCTACAGGGCTTTCTGCAACTTCTGACTGGCTCCAAATTCTTACACCAGTTTCACAATGTACCAACTCAAACCCAGTGATTTCTCTTAAGTGCAGAAACAAGTCTTGACTATTTCACAAAGTTGCTGCCGAAATGATCATGCATTTTTAACTCTAAAACATACACAGAAACTAAAAAAAATTCTGCAACAAGCAAATGAAAGACTGAAAGCAGAAAAAAAGCAAATGACAAAGACTTGAGTAGCTTGGGAAAACAGTGCTGGTGACATGATGGTTAGTAAAATGCAGTGAAAGTGAACAGTTGCTGGAGGATGAGAAGACCCTTATTGTAATGAAACAGCTAGGAACAGAACAGATGTGTTCACAAGGGCACGTTTGCGAAGCAGCCACAGGACTGGTGGGTCAGGAGAAGCGCTGTGGGGATACCAGACCAGCTCTTCAACTGACAGGTTTCTAACAGCAGGAACAACTTTGCAAAGTAAGCTTGCTGACTAATCATTCTGGATGGACCGCGGTCTTCATCAAGATATATACTGTTCCTTGAGACTGCCACAAACTGAAAGATGAATGGTGTATGAGAATGAAGCAGATTGGAGATGGTACTGTGTAACCTCACTACTTTCTCAATTGTACACATGCTCAAGGATGTTCTGTCAGAAGCAGGAGGGAAAAATGACACATTGCGACAAACTGTCTAGAGGAAGTGGTCTGTAAAAACAAGATGAGTTAGAAAGAGGAGGAAAAACCACAAGAGATGTTATAATGGAGGAATACACACGGGAGAGCGAAAGCTTTCAAGAGCTCAGCAGAGACGGTTTGGCAAGAGGTTTTGTCAACCTCTTGCCAATCTGTAAATCGTGAAAAGCGTTAGAGAAGCCTTTTACCCTGTGTTGTGAGGAGGACCTTCTCAGCGTTGCTTGGCAGCCCCAGCCAGGATGGAGTCTGCGTGTCAGGGAGCATCTCCACCCAGTGCACAAACTCCTCCCGCCTGAATTGACAAGACAGGACCACTGAGTCAACACACATCATCACCTTCATAGTGTGGCTAAGGTCCTACAGATGTCAGCTATACGTTGAATTTAAATGGATGCAAAACACCAGGATTACCGAATGCCATCAGGCATCTTGATATCCTTGTGACCATCGACTTTAAAGGCCAGTTTGAAGTCGCTGTCGAAGCTGGATGTAGTGAAGATGCGCTCCAGGAAGGTGTTGAGCAGTCTCTGGTCAAACTCATTGTCAACTCGCCCGCCATAGATGGACTGTGCCATCAGCGTCTTCAGGGCTGCCCAAGGTATCTTGTCAGGAGAGATGTTCTGCCGACCCTGTGGTTAGGTACATTCTTTAGCATCCAGGCTCGGGTGTTACAAGTATATAGAGACAGGAATTCATTTTCAGAAATAGTCCAACACTAATGAAGGAACATTACTAAGATACCATTCTAAATGATTGGGCAGGAACAGACCTGCAGTTATGGCACCTTATATACCCTTTCAAAGCAAACTATTTGATTCCAGCTCACTATCTCATGAGATAAGCAAATGTTAAAATTTGGCCAGTATATACATTGAAAATTGACAATTTTATCAGGTTGGCACAGAGGAGAACAGGCAGGCATGTGTCAATGCGTGTGGATCAGGCAGTCCTTACCTTGGCGGTGTCATCCAGCCAGGTGTCCACTGTGTCGCAGGCTGAGCGCAGGTCCGACTCCCCAAATTCGTACTTCTTGGACCAGCCCAGCGGGGCATAGCGCAGCCGCTCCTGGATGATGGCGTGGAACCAAGCCAGGAGAAAGTACAGGCGGGCACGCTCGTTCGGGGCCTGCATGTCATCAGGGACAATCGGGTCAGCATACAACTTCCTGAAGCCGTGGTATTCTTTACAAAACACGTCTCCAAGAACACGACAGTCTTCCTTTCCTCACACTGGGTTTGCTGTTGCTTGTGGGTATTTGTGAGATTTCTTCGTACCTCAACACAACCACAACCTCTCATGTCAAAAAAAAAATCTGGCTCCTGTTCCGTAATGCAGAGATACGTCGGAGTGGGCCCTCACCTTGCACATGCGGGAGACGGGGATGCTGCTGAAGGTCCTCAGCATGTTCGCCTTCACGCCTGGAGGTGGCTCGAACACGAAGATGCGCCCGGCACGCAGCAGGTTCACTGGGACCTGGGGAGGAAGGGCAGCAGACGAGGTCACACGCTGAATTCTCAAGTTAATTAAAAACAAGTGCTTCAGCTTTGGAAGTGATACTAAAATGTGGTGCAGATCATGTTGAGGTTGCAAGAATGTGACTACAACCGTCACATTCTTCGAGCACTTTCTCCTTACCAGGCAGTTTGCTGACCTTCATTTGAAAAGGAAATTCAAATACAGAATTTGACACAATAATGGAAACTGCCAGAGAGCAGCTGACCTTGGGGTTGATCTCCATGGTGAGGAAGAGGCGGAAGCTGGCGTGGGGCTGCATGGAGTGGAGCTTCTTCTCCAGCTGCATCAGCCACCCAGGAGCCAGGTGAACATTCTCCAGCATCACCCACCTGCCATCATCATCCCAACAGTTACAGCACAGCCTCACTGATCTCACCATTGCTTACCCACAAACAAGTCAGTCACCTCCACGCTACAGAACTTCAAAGACACTGCTTGGAGGACAAACCATTCTTTAAAAAAAAACACTTTCCTAACTTGCTCTTAGGCTTATATGGCCATTCAGAATGCAATATCCTACATTTTGTGAAAAAATAATGTCCCCCAGGAAATGATGAAACCTCAGGTGCTATAAAACTTCACTTGGAAAGGTAGTGCACATATAACCGATAAATCTAATTCTATAAGCAAAATGTATGTCTTCAATATGTTTTAACAAAGAGCAAAGAGGACAAACTGGGCAACCCTTGTAATTTTGCCTTTAAGCACAGTTCCTAGAGGATTGCTGAGGTAAATGAGTGCACGTTCTGGTTGTCACACCCACCTGCCAGACTTGACTGCTGTGTTGATGTCCCTATCTGCTTTGTTGAATCCCTCAGCAGATCCTACAAGAAAGTGACATTTTTAAATGCATCTCAGACTTCTCCATTTGTTAATACAATCCCACACCAACATACCTTGCTCAGTTTTGGATTAAAAGCCTACAGAATTTGAAAACTTGAGGAAAAAAAACTAGATCCTCTAATTTTTCTTACCAATAGAAACTGATGTAATTTGTTTGTTCTGTTCAGCAGCCAAATCTCTCACAAGACCGCTGGCGTCATAGCCAGGGACGGAGCACATCAAGACTGGAGTACTGGGCTTCACCTGCCAACACAAAAACAGGTCACAAAACATTTAATCAGCAGCAGTGCACTCCAAGCCTAGAGTGCTTATTACAGGAATAATGGATAATACATGGCGTCTCATGACACTAAAATCTATAGTTGAAGAATCAGTTATGGGTCACGTCCATCAGACCACTTATGTTTGTTCGGTGATGGCTGGCTTCTAACAGAGCCGACACCACCGTATCTAATGAGATTTGAGGGAAAATAAAATTTCTCACTGCCTGCAGTCAGTGGTTTAAATACAAGATAATAGAGCACTTTGATATTCTTCCTCTTGTAAAAAACCAGTAAGGAACAAATCATGTAAAAAACAATAATAAAATGTGATGTTTAAGAGAACGCCTTGGCAACCCACTGAGGAAGGTTACCTCGGTGTCCACAATACTGCCGAGGTCCAGTGGCTGCTCGATGATGGACATGAAGCTCTCTCCCAGGACCTTGGACACGAAGATGTGGGACATGGCCAGCAGGCGGTCGGGCCGGAAGGCCTGGATCAGCAGGAGCTGGTGAATGGCCTGGCCAATAGGAGCTGGGCAGGGAGAGCAAACGGGCAGGAGTAAGGGCCATATGAGTGAAACCGTGCACAGTTTTTCATGTATAAATTGAACTCGTTGTGCCATTAGATGTTAATGTTTCTGCACTCAGTTCATGTACTGGAAACACAGAAAACCGTACATATACTGACGTTAACACCAGCTATATCAATGAGCCAGAGTGGGGTTTAAATCAGCTGTGCAGCAGTGGGGACACTCACTGGATGTTTTCTCTTCAGTCCAGAGGTATGGTACCGACAGCTCTGGCGAGTTACTCTCCAGCCACATAAAGAATTGCTGAAACAAGGGGAAACAAAACAAAATGAGACATGAACCAGATGAACACCAGTGGAAACACTGAAGTGAATTAAAACCGGTGAACAGGAGGCACTTTGGTTTACACAGAGGGTTCTGGAGCACGTTACCCAGCCACATTGTTCCTAACTTGCCTTCCTTCCTTCAAAATGAGATTCTTGAACAAATAAACTCCTTACAACCAAATGAGCTAGATGGGCTCAATCTCTGTGTTATGTGTTTAATGTTAACTTCAATCACACCTTGATTCAATAAGCCACGTAGGTAAATGGACATGGAGATTAGCTATGATGAGCCGCTAATGTTGCAATGGCAAGGAGATTCTACTCACCTCGTCAGCCTCAACCTTGGAGACAATGTCCTTGAAGGCAGGCAGGCGGCTCAGTCTGATCATGCCCTCGGTCTGCTCAGTGCTCAGGCCCTTGACTTTTGGCAAGATGGTCCCAGTCAGCACAATCTCCTTCCCCCGCAGGAAATGCTGGAACTCGGGATCAAAAGAGGGTTCGCTGGAGGAAAAAGATGAGCCATTGATTTCAGGAACATCAGCCTAGCATCTTCAATTCAATTAAAATATGAGATGCAGAGAAGTAATTCAGTCTTGTGGCCTCTGAGATTTTGGATAAGGCAACATGATTAGTTTATATTCTTCTTCAACAAGTAAGGAAAGAGGTTTTAGGAAGAGAGGAAAAAACAAAAATAGATACTTCTTCTAAACTAAACTCATAGCATGCAATTAATCAGTGTAGGTAAACATTTTTTTTGTAAATTTATAGGAGTCACCAAAACACAGGCCTAGATGGCTAAGGTATTCCTCGAGTTGCTTAAGAACAAAGTTTTCTTTACCTGGTCATGCCTTTGAGATTGATCCTGGCCAGAAGCATGGCAAATGTGATGTGATCTTGGTGCAGCATACCTCTTGCCACTCTGTTGAAAGCAATCTGTGGAAGGAAACAAAAGTATGAGGGGCTCCAACAGAACTTGGACTCCCTGTGCATTTTCATACAGCAATATTAGGACTTCTACGATATTAGAATAAGTACTTGACTGCTATAAAAAGGCACATATATACACCAGGCAGCAATGTAAGAGAGTGCTACATGCAGGTCTATACCTGGAAGAGGTCCTTGGTGATGAGGGACAGGCGCTGCGTGTGGTCAGTCACACTCTTCAGGTTGGGGTTCTCATACAGCACAGTATGGTAGATATCCAGGAAGAGGTGCAAGGAGTACTGGTACAGGAAGTGGATCTGGAACAAGGAAACCACTGCAGTCACACCTTAAGCTCCAATGAAGAAACGGTAGAATCTGCACTAGTGTTTGTATTCTGACTTGCACAGTGTCATTATGTTTGACCTAGTTACTCAACAGTGCACACAATTTGAAAATTATACAAAGTTTATACGCATCCCACAGTCCTGACCCCAGAGGTACCTCCAGTGTCAGCCTGCTGTCCCACCTGGTTGAGAGCCTCCATGGTGAAGTAGATGCTGCTACAGGCAGTGGAGAGAGAGAGGTACTGCTGGGACACCGTCTCCACTTCCTGCATGACGATGTCCGTCTCCTCCACTTTGCGTGTCACCTCCGCCGCTTCCTTCTTCAGGTTTTCCAGCGTGGTGATGATGGTGTCGTCGTCCAGGATGCGCCCCTTGACCTCGTTCAAGGCCTGCAGCAGGGACTTCTCAAGCTGTCGCAGACGCAGCTGGAACTCGCCTGAGATGCAGCGCAAGGGGAGGACATGAGCAGACTAGTCAGACCCTGGCCACAACCCAGCTTCCCCGATCCGGGGAAGAACACTTTAAAATTTCTCATCGCATGACCCACCCTGCAGCTTGAGGAGATCGGAGCGCTTCTCGTCCACATCGGGCCGCTCAGCCTTCAGCACCTCGTTCAGGCACTGGCTCTGCAAGCTGCTGCGCGTCACTGTGAAGTTCACGAAGGTCACACGAGAGCACAGGTCTGGGGGGAACTCCACCTGGAGACCAGAGAGAAACAAGCGCGTGACAGTGCTGGAATGGCTTCAAAACATACAGGCAGCCACATGTTGCAATGCAACTATGTTCATGTCCTACTCGGTCATTAAAATGTATTCGGACAAAACCAATGCCAAAACGCATCGCATTGCAGTGATCAATTTAAAGAAAAACTGCAAAATTGTGATAAATGTGCAAGAAAAGCTGCATGACAGACGTTTTCTACTCCCATGCAATATCTAAATCTACAGTACAGTAGATAACTCATCATAACCACTTTCTCAGAAATGACTCATTACACAGTCAAATTAAGAAGGGCCAATAAATAGGAAAGGTCATAATGAACTCTTTCACACAGTGTTGAAAGAATATATGCCTTACCGTTGGGTCTCGGGTGGAGAGGAAGATGACGAAGGATGGGGACAGGTCAATGTCCTGGTCTCCCAGGGTGATGAGGACTCGGCCTCCAGTCCGGCGAACCTCCCGGTTTAGCACTGGGTTCAGAATGGGGTCATAGCTCTCCACATCCTGCCAGGAAACCAAAAACAGTTCCACAACTAATGGCAAGGAGGGCTGAAATCACTTGTTTAAATGTCATACAGGGAAGAAAAGGGAATTAATATCTGTTGAGACATACATGACTTACATCCTTATACTTTGTTCTATAAATCTAGCTTTTAGTATCCCTATCCAAAGTCACACTGAAGACCGATTATTATAGTGCTCAGTGATTCCTCTTGCAGTGTCATCTACAATAAACCTGGGCTACACATACTCCTCACTATTCTTTTGGTGCCACAGAAGGGCCTTCTCACCTGCACCAGAAGGGGGTTTCCGAATCGCAGCGCGCTCTCTAGGTTCTTCCTGAAGGCATCGTCCAGGAAACTGGTCCTAGTGATCTTGCGGTCCTTGTACTCGTTCATGATGAACTCTGTGGCCTGTCCTGATGGGTCTATGATCAGAGGGTACCTAGATGGCAGAATGCAAGGTGCAATGACTTACAGATGAATTTTTGCTCACAAGAGTTTTAGAGTAAATCTAGAAAAGCCAAATATTTTAATTATACCCACCCAATATGGAACTGTTGATTTTGTGGGGTGTTTTTATTTTGGCTTGCTGTGATGAGCACGGGAGAAAACAAAAAAGTGCAGGCAAACTACTCCAATCTACCCATCTTTGAACTATTTCTTTAATACATTACAGGCAACACACCTCCAACACCAGGAGTTAAATTAACAGTATTACAAACACCTGTGAGGCAACAAGCCTGGAGGACTAATCTCACCCTACCCTTGGCAGCACTTGTGGTTGTGCAATAGTGCCTGGGGACTCCTAGTGGCAGTCAGATAGTGACAGAGTCACATTTACCTAACTGGATCTTGTGATGGCCATGCTTTAGAGCTCAACCTACACTTGGCGAGCCATTCAACACGTCTCAATCAGGCATTAATTCATAAAGTAAATTGTGAGCTACTGCACATTGAGTCAACAAGGGACTCTCTTGTTTTTTTCCCCCACAAAAATAGGTAGAAAGTTCCGCTGGTCTTATTTAACCTATCATACAATACACCACTTATCAAAGAGCCTGCAAACTGATAATCTGTATTCACCCGAGATGTGAACAGACCTGTTGAATCTCTTGAGCATGATTGCGTTCTCCGTGCAGAGGTCGTCAGCAGGCAGCGAGTTGGCTTGCCAGCGCAGGCGCTCATCAGCATTGGACAAGTACTCGGTCCTTGCAATGTCTGTGCGGAACTAAAAAGCAAAAAAAGTTCAAATGATTAAAAGCTGGAAAAATACTAGAACAACAAAATGTACATGCAACCGTGGAATACAGGAAAAGCTTTTAATAAAATCTATGGAACTATGAGTTTCTTCAGGTTTTAAATGAAATGAACATAGAACCAGATATTTTAAAAGCACTACAAATCAGCTTCAAATTTGATTTTGGCTCTGTAATACCTGAAGCGGGCCCTGTGTCTGTAGTGTCTGATAGATTGAGGTACCTGGATGTTAGCCTGCTGCAGGTGGTGTGACCAGGTGGTGAAGAGATTCTGGCGCATCTGCTGGTCAAAGTAGCCAGCATAAGCAATGAAGGCAGCAGACAGCAGGCAGTCTCCTGCAATGGTTGACATCTGGTTCTTGAAGGTCTCGCTCGTCTTCTCCCAGCGGTCTCGCTCAGCGGACAAACTCTTCAGTAAGGCTGTGCTGCGGTTCACCTGTGCAGGAGCGAGGGAAGCACATTACTACTAGCATGGAAAACTACTGCTTAACCCTTTCAATGTGACCGCAAAATGAAATAACTAGTCTCTGAATGCTACCCAGTAGAGTTGGCAAAAGCTGACCATGCTTAATGCAACGTTAATGTGTGGAAACCTTTACAGGCTATTGAAAGATCCAAGTCTTAAAATGTGTTAAGTTGAGCAGAAAATGAAAATTTCTTTAGCTTGTAAAGGATAATTCAAATGGAGCAAGCTCAAGATCTCCACGGCACCTTGGCCTCGACGGCAGCCAGGTCAGCTTTGATGGCCTGTGCCTCCGAGATGAGCACAGCGTACTCCTCCTTGTAGCGCGCGATGCTGGACTCCAGGTCGTGGATCATCTGCTCCACCTCCTCGGCCTTCGACTTGTTGTCCTTGGCATCATCCTCCAGCTTCTGCAGCTCATTGCGCAGGGGCTCCACACGCTTCAGCATGTCAGCATAGTTAAGCTGGAGACCAGAGAAACAGATGCTCACTGCCTAATAATTTACACATTTGCCTTTTACAATCTTCATTATGGGGAGAAAATTTCACTTCAGCTGACAAATCATAAAACAGCTTGGTTTTTACAGGGTGTGTGGTTCCCAGAAAGACCTGTGCCGCTTGTCTGGTCCAGTGTCCTCTCAATCTAGAAAACGGGCACATCAAAAAGCAACACAAATCTGTACTGACTGCACTTCTACAAACCCAGAGGACCCTCAGCACTATACAATGAGCAATGGGAGCATCTATTCTCACAGCCCTCTATTCTCACTGTCTTAGAGTTCAGACCCACACATTAGGTATTTGAAGAAGACTTATTAGATGAGGAAACAGGTCAAGACAAGGTCCTCACCTGAGCTATAGCCCACTTCACCATAGGCCCGCAGGCCAGAGAGGCCCTGTTGACCAACTCGTAGTTGTAGCTGGGGTTGGACATATAATTCTTCTTCATCTTTTCACGGATTGAATCACTGTTTGAATAGCACAAAAAGAGAACCAAAAAAAAAAACTTGAAACTTGAAATTAGTTTTTATACTTCTTAAAGAAAACTCACATATGGACCAGGTGAGGAATTGCGTCTGAACATCTTAATGCACTTACCCACAATTGTCAAACTAATGACAATAGCTGCTAAGAAACAGGTAATAAAAAAAGGGAAGGAACACATTTTTTAAAAAAAGCATATCATCTGTCCTGGTACCATGAAGCCCTATACTGCAGGTACTCAAGAGTAGCCTGGATTACATTACCCTCTCTACCACCACACTAAATGTGTGTCTAGGCAGTGGAAACAAACCCTTAAAATTTCCCTTCACCAAACTACTTTACTGATGCACTCACTGCAAGTGCAGCTCTCTTAATTCAGAACTGTAAGGTTTCCCGGCGAATTATTAAAATGCAGTATTTTAAAACACCTCCGGTGACCATGCAAACATCAATGCCATGCAACAGCCAATTAATAGCAAAGCAATGTTAAAAAGACTCTGTGGTGTCTGACAAACAAATGAAGGGAACAAAACAATACCTCATGTCTTCTGAAACAAAGTTGACTATGCTGGTGATGAAATTATCTCTGATAATAACTTGTCTGATCTTTTTCCAGTCACTAGTCTCCTCTCCCAGCAGGAGACAGATTGACTCTAAAGCCAGCTTTACAGCAGCAGGTGGGTTGGCCATGGCACGCACTTCAACAAGATGCTGCTTCTTAATAGAGCTCACAGCTAGGGAATGGGGGGGAAGAGAAATGGGATGGTGATTTAACAACATGCAGGAGAGGAGGGGGAGTGCAGCCACCACTTTGGAGGGCGAGAGAGAGAAACTTCAATTCACAGCCTGCAGGATTCAGTTGCTCAATGTGTCTTAGCTTCAGTTTCTTTTCTTAGAACCTCATTAAAACTTGTTTTGGAATTGCACTTATCACATATACGACAAATGTAGGTTTAAGGCATCAATGGTTAAGTAAAAGAGTAAAGCCGCCACTGAATCAAATCCGATTAGCTATCCCCACATTAAAGTACTGTAAAGAGATAAGAGATGTCACTCATGTTGTTGATAAAGACCATTTTTTCCTTTCCATTACTGCGAAGGGATAAAATAGTCCCATAATACTCAGTAAATCCGCTGGCCATCATTGAAGTTTCTCTTCTAACACCTTGGGGCAGCTGCTTTCACCCACTCTAATTCACCTGATCTCATCGGCAGAAAAGTTAACAATGGTGGGGATGAAGTTCTCCCTCATTATGATGGAGCGGATCTGTTTCCAGTCTGTGGTGCTCTCTCCCAGGAGCAGGCAGATGGACTCCAGAGCCAGCTTGACAGCGCCGGGCGGGTTGGCCATAGACCTCACCTCCACCAGGTGCTGCTTCTTAATGGATTTTACAGCTAACATCAGCCACCAGGGGGTGCCACAGTGCAGAGGAGAAGACACGCAAGAAAAGACAGCATTGAAAAGGTCAAGTCAGAAACCAGGAGCAGGAGGAAGAAAGTGAAAAATCAGTAAACAGATTAGAACATATGTACTCAGGTGAAAAGTTCAAGAAGTGAGAGTCACATAAAACCCCCAGAAACAAAACTACTGCTGCTCAGGGTCAGAGGACAACAGTTGCTTATTTGCAGGAGTCAATAACAGCCCAAGTCTTTGTCATTGGATAAAAAAACTACACAGGGTAAACTCCCAAGTCTCAAGTGAACCAGTGCTAAGCAGAAGGACTGGAATGAACATTCAATCTGAAAAATAATTATGCAGTCCAGGAAATGCGAAGATACGGTGCTGAACAGCAAAAAGTCAAACTGTAGTTCAAAACAAAGGGAGCTCACAGAGAATAATACACATTTCTCAAAACTTGGATTTTTTTAGAATGCATTACAGTTCTATTGTTCTGGTAAAGTAAAGGATATCACTTATAAAGCACTTTGACAGACAGCTCCATCATATTGTCTTCATTTAAAGATGACAAATGCAAAACATGATAAACAAGGACCCAAAGAGAGTGGTTCCTCTTCTGCAGGAAGCAAGTTGATAATTCAAAGATCGGTGCCAAAATTTGTATACAAATAGTTCTCCAGCTTGGCAGTCTTACCGTTCTGAGCTTCTATCACAGCAGGCTCCACTTTGTCCAAGTCCTCCTTCACCCTCATCTGCTTGTCTTTAATGACTTCCTGCTGCTTGTAAACAGCCTCTTGAATTTCCTGACTCATAACCTACATATCACAGCACACAAAGGTCATAAATTACCTAGATTGTACTACTGACACTACAGAGCACATCACAGCTCAATGTCTCCAAACCTAAATCGTTGAAGCCTACTAAGAAATCAGATGTGCAATCAGTCATAAGAACCACTGCAAACGAGAGGCTACTTGGCCTATCTATCCAACCGGGTAGATCTGATGTTGCTACAGAGAAACCAGGATACTGACTAACATCACCAATGAGTTTTTAAAAATGTCTCTGGATGTTTCGCCCAGTTACAAAACTGCATAAATCTATATATTTAAATAAGTTAGTTATACATTTTATTTAGTTAATAAAGGAAAGATAAAAAAAATTGTGTAATATAATCCGTGACAATATTTGCTCAACTTTTTTTAAGTTGTTGTTCTGCTTTGTTCACAGTGTGGATTAAAGGTATGGGCTGTGTTTCAGCCTTACCTTTTTCTTCTCTGCCTCCTGCTGGTCTTTCACCATCTTCTTCAGCTTGTCATTGGCAGCAGCATTCTTTACCTCCAGCTCCTGGCTTTTAATCCTCAGATCCCTTCGGAGTTCCTCCACCTGCAAAATCAGGACAGAAATGCCATAACTCATTGCGATGTACTCAGCCGGACTGAGAAACCGTTTGCTAGAATTTCCTTCCCATGGCTCTACAATTTGTATATAATCCTTCTGCCGACGAAAAAAAATTAGCTTGACATGCAGCAATCTGCTAAATTAAGCTTGAATTCCCTAGACATCAGAACATGCTAGTACTCAATAATTTACATGTTGTTTCCTACTCCCATTTCTTGCCAGTATTACCGATGTCATATGCGAGGTTCAAGAATAAGAAGGGTTCCTCATTGCATTGTGACATTACCTGGTCCACAGTCTCTTTGATCTTTCGCAGCCCAACGTTCAGGTGCATCTGCTGCTCTTCCAACTCGCTGCGCTTCTCGTTGAACAGGTTAGCGTAGTGATTGATGAAGTCCAGGTAGTGGCGAGGGGTGATGGCCATGGTGCGCCCGCCACGCTTTGCCAGGCGGTTATTGGCCTGAACGTTAGCAGAGAGAAGAGACAACAGGTTAGCCACATCTGCTGTCAGTTCAAGAAAACTTAGCACCTGTTCTTATCACTGGCTTTCTAGAACAAAACCAATTCTGAACCGAAAATTATGAGTCATGTTTTGGGTCAAGTAATGATGTTATTTCACACCTTATAAAACAGGTCATGAAACCATTTTGGCTGTCCTTAAAATACCTCTCTGTATTGACTCCTAATATGAATGCCTTTAATACATTCATACTCTCAGCCACTGTCTTGCAGCTCTTATTCCTTTCCAAAAAGGTAACAGTGAACATCAAGTCGAAACTGACCTGGTGCAGAGTCTGATGCACAAACACGCAGCTGTTGACAATTGCCTCTCTGTGAGTGGGTGGCTGGGGTAGCTTGTCGTACACAATGGGCATGTAGTCTGGCACAACATAGTTGGGCTTCTCCAGGTCCATTTTGCTGGTGAACTCTTTGCCCACCTGGTACAAGGCTTCTGTAGACCAGTCTCCAAACCAGTTCAGCACACACCTAAGATAAATTAACAGTCAGATCTGAGGGAAAGTACTCTTAAATAAAATAAGACCTAAAATGAACCTAATATTAATTTTACAGTAAGTTCCCCCCCCCCCCTCGGTTTTTACATTCCTTACAAGGTTTTCAGGTTTATTCTGATTTCATTAAAAATAATCCATTGAAGTTTTATGTGATGTGTTGATCCTGTGCTGTGTAAAGAAAAGCAATGATACATTCAAGATCGCATTAAAACCCTCCATTTGCCTGGCTCTGCCAGTGTCTCGCAGTGGTTGGCAGAGCTGACCTGTTGAAGAGGGCAGGGGAGGTGGCGGCACGGTCCTTCAGTCCCTCAGAGGAAGGGTTCATGGTGAACACCACATGCAGGTTCCTGATGACCTGGCTGGTGAACCACTTGTACAGCTCCTCGTGAGAGTCCAGCATCAGCCCTTCCTTCTGTGCCCCTTCCTTGCACTGCGTCATCAACGTGGCATACTCATCTCCTTCAAACAGACCTGGCACCTGCACCACACGGGAATCACACAGTGAGGCGCAGCTATGAAAAACTTTTATCCTTTGATAAAAGAGACATCGTGATCTATCAAAGCCCCACAGCTCCTGATTAACGTGCAAAACTAATATGATAATAATATTAAAACTGTTTTTGCGAAATAGAACAGAGACTTCACAGCAGCTAAAACTGGAGATTATTCTTCAATTCTTTACAACAACAAAAATACAGCTCTCACTAACCTCTCCGTTCGCCAGCAGAGTGTTCATACGCTCTAGGAATCCGGAGTCCAGCACGTTGGACTCATCCATAATGAAAGCGATCTTCTCGTTCTTACAGCCAGAGCGCCTAAGTACTGTCCTCAAGTCCTCATCAAAGTCCTCACCTGTGTACTTCCTGTGAACCTGCACAAACACATGGTGTTAAAGCCCGGTACAGTGCACTCCGAACACATTCGCATGCATTAATATAACTTCTAATAAGTTTCATACCTGGAAAAAATTAACAACAAACATAAAAAATAATAATAAATAAAAAAACTGACCACATATGATCACATATCCTTAAAAGCCACAAGTAATAGGTTTATTCCATTCTGAAAAGATGGAAAGGCCGTGGAGCCTTCTTCAGGTGTGCACTCTTAAGAAGTAGTGCAAATTTAAATAAAGGAGAGCTCAAATGAGAGCAGGACAAATAATCTCATAGCTTCATCACCCATCGGAGTGGCCTGACAAACAGTGACCCCTCACCTTGATCTGATAGACACTGAGGCCGTTCATCCAGGCCACAAAGCGGGACAGGGTGGTCTTCCCTGCTCCGCTGACTCCGATGAGCAGGAGGTGACCTTGAGGCTGGCGGAAAATTCTGGGAAATATGGAAACATTTTTAGAATAAAGGTAAACTTCTAAATAGCACCTTTAAAAGCAAAATGGCCTTACAAGATGTAACAAACATTACAATGAATTAAATATCTGCAAACCGCAAAAACAGAAGACAGGCTTCCCCAAGACTAGATTTAAAAGAACACAATGTGTCCCAGGTTTCTTTTGGGCGCATAGGCAAAGCTGCAGGATTCAAGAAAACACTACCATTTCGCTAAAGGTGCAGTTAACATTTTTCACCTACCGGTCAATTCTGAGGACGTGATCGAGGACTTCATTGAACAGCACCAGGGGTACATCCAGCTCCTCTTCATAGAACACTTTCAGACGGGCTTTGACATAGTCTCTCAGTTCTTCTTGATCCACTGGGACATAGTCCTAACGAAGAAAAATCATGATAAATGCATATATATTGCAGTTTGACTTAAATATTTAGATGAGTTACAGTTGAGAGCCAAAGACCATCCCTCCTTTCCCCCTCAATCTGCTATAGCAAAAGTATGCCTTCATCAAAGTTCTCTAAAAAACAAAACTACAAAACTTAGCTGAGAGTACCTTAGACAGCCAGTTGCTGTAGAGGATGGGCCTGTTCAAGGCTTTCTCTCGGTCAATGTTGGGGAAGTGTTTCAGAGCCACTGTGTCTATGTTTTCATCTGTCCAACGTCTCTCTTCATCTTCAACAAGCCTAAAGAACAAAACAGATTACTCGGCTAACAGATAACCTATTTCTTTAAGCAATGTTTATAAATTCTGAAAAAAACATACATCAACTTAAAGTATAGTCAAAACAGTCATGTTGGTTCAGATTTTGACAACAGCATAACTAATATCCAAAGCAACCTCAGAATTTTTTTAATGATTAGTAAAGCATTTTGAACACTTGATTACAGTATTTAAATTTTACAATAGTATAACATTCCTAAAGGCTTCAAAAACTGGATTCCTAACACTTTGCGTTTTGCTTGGTAGGTATTACAAAGTGCACCATACATGACGTCCAGTACATCACAGTTTTTCAGGCAGCAGTCCCTGCTTATATTAGGAATCTACTTGTAATTCCCATGAGGAACCCCGAAGAAACAGCAGTACCCACCTGTCCTGGAAGAGGCGCAGTGCTTCGTGAGCCCAGATGCGGATCAGGCCCTCCACTGCCAATGTCTCCAGGGGCCTCAGGGCCTCAAAGATGCCCCTCACCCACCGCGTCATCTCTCGAGGGGAGTAGATGTAGTGGGGCTGGGTGTCTTGTGTGAAGCGCTCCTGGAACAAACCGCAAGAACAGGTTTCAGAAGATGCACAATGAGCACTCAATTCACAAATTAGAAATACTGCTCCTGCAGCTTTCCCATAGAGAACTCGAAGTTCTAAGGTTTATATTTCTTGTAACAGAGAGCATGACATTCATGTTGCGCTCTTAAAAAAAACAACTAATCTTGTTCAAGCACCCTTCTGCAACCGAAAGCAATGTGACATTGTTGATTGAGATCCTGAAGCTTTTCCACATGAGAGCTATCTCGGAGGAACAGTGATGTGCTTGCCATGTGACGGCAGCAGTGAGAGGTCTGGAACATGTGGACAAACCATGCAGCTGAAGGGCTCACCTGTGACATCGTGTAGAACTCCACCATGGCTGCAGTGAGCGGCTCTGCATACGTCCTCAGGGAGGGGATAAGTCTCAGCATGGCGCGGTTAAATGTGCCGTAGATCTGGGTGAGCGAAGCCGGGCCGGGATAGTCCACATATACCACTGGGACATGACGCAGGAATCTGGGGACAACCCACAGAAGCGACTACTTCCACATACACTAGCTACATTGGCCCCACAAACAAAATGTGTATTACACCTAAGTAGCCAAGAAAGCCACTTAATTCCCCCTCTATCAAAATGCATTTGTTGACCATTACAAGACTATCTGCAAGGAGATTCTCTGAACTGCAAAAAGTAGCAGGAAAGTTCAATCTTGCAGCACTAACAGTTTCATTGGTTTATTAGAGGGTGTACTGTAAGGGTACCTGTGTGTTAGAGGCTTCCTGCCGGGATCTGTGGGGGGGTTACAGGCCCCGACAAACTGGATCCTCTCCAGCTTCACCCAGGTCTGGTCCGAGGTGCGGTAGAACCCGCCATGTTCCACCATCTGAAAAGGAAAAGCCAGGAAATATTAACCAAGGGTGGCGATCTGGCACACAAATCGAAGTATGTTCCTACCGCTTAAATTATCTTAGGCTTCCTACTATGTTCTTGGCAAATATTAAAACTAATCAACACATTTAAGTGATGAAGACTACTTATTTCACCAATCCAACAAATATAAGGGCTTGCTGGTCTTCAAAAAGACACAAAGTAGGGGTCTCAACAATCACGAGGGTTTGGTACAGGGATCCACTGTGAATAACCAAATTTGCATGTAACAAATTCCATTATTCTGTCATGAATAGCCAAGTGAGCATATAACCAACTCTACCCCTATACAGTCACATAATGTCCTATATAGTAAGTATGGTTGAAAGACATTGCAGAGTTTGTAAAAAACCGCTTCAGAGCTCTGTGTTTCCTGGGTACCCTCTGCAGAGGGAGCGGAGCGCTGTCGGTGGTGCCCCTAGCTCGCACGCACCTGTCTGATGAAGGAGATGACTCTCTGTGTGCCATACTTGTCCATATCCGGCAGGTTGATTTCATCGCAGAACAGGACCAGCCACTTGCCGAGCTGCACGGGGGCCAGCACCACCCCGCTGGGCGTGCGCCGGTACTCGCAGTAGTGATCGAAGGTCTTCAGCAGCAGCTCCGGGGTGGTGGCACTGGAGAAGTTCAGGCCCACCACCTGCACAGATGGCAGCGATAGGATTTACAAAACTCTTCTGACATTACACTTTTCTCACCAAGGAGCACCTTACCATTATAAGAGCAATAGAAAACATCTTCATCTTGGTGAATCACATCAGGAGCTGTATTCAAGAACTCCTCACAATTATTTGAATTCTGTACGCAGTGCTTTTTGTAATTCTCCAAATATTAAGGAACAGGTTTCAGTTGCAACAGCTTGAATGAAATGGCTTACTGGAGTCTCTGTCATTCCAGGAGGACGACGACTCCTAAACACCGGAAACGGTGATTAACCACGTCTCATACGGAGGTGGCGACGAGACCTACCGACCGTAAATGTCCACCCAGGCCCCAGCCTCACCTCCATGTCCGGCAGGGCGCGGAGAGCGCTGAAGAGGGTCATGGTTTTGCCGGAGCCGGGTGGGCCACACAGGACCAAGGGCTTGTGTTCAGCCAGCCAGGTGTAGAGCAGCGCCTCGTGGCGGACAGTGTCCAGCGTGGGCACCACCACATCTGGAGCCGCCACCTTGTGGGTCTCCACTTCAATCTGGGGCACCTTGCCTTGCCAGGACTGCCACTCTCCTGTGATGGACACCTACGCAACAGAGGGGAGAGGCGGGAGTGTTAAATCCAGGGTGGCCAAACCTCATCCGCAAGGTAGAGGGACTTCCAGCTAATGACGTGGAAGAGTTAATTGTTAGAATTCTGTCCTGTGTGATCAAAAACACACCAGGCCAGGAATAACGAAGATGGACAACTCCCAAGTCAACAGGGATATTCAGGGCCTCAGAAATAGTGCTTGAATTGGTGGTTGTGAAATTGTTAACATTAACAATCATTTTGTCTACACATCAAATTAGAAGCATGTGAAACAAAAACACTAAAGGTCTAAACAGGACTGGAAAACAGTGCTGAAGCACAACTTCATCCACTACTCAAGTCAGATGTTTAAATGCACCAACAAAAATGGAGCTAGCTGCAACTCTACCATCTGGACGAAGGTGCACAGTGTATAAAACCGGACGGCAGAAAAGGGAGGGACGCCCACCTCGTAATCGATGATGGGCACGTTGGGAGCAGAAGGCAAGGGGATGGTGGTGATGCGGCGGATGTATTCGCCCAGCTCGGCTCTCATCTTCAGCCTGCCGTCTCCAGAGAACGACCACAGGATGGCGTACACAAGGTACCTCTGCCAGCGAGGGAAGGGAAAGAATACAAATGGAAAGCAAGATAAGAAGAAGCAGGGGCGCTGCATTAAATCAGACTGATCAACTGTTGAACACGCAGGTAGCTTCCTCGGTATGGCCTGTTTAGATTAGATTAACTTTACTCTCCACTAAAAGTGGAAATTTGTCTTCAGTTCCCCCCCACCCCGTTACAAATAATACAATTAAAATCCACAACATACAAGTCATCAGCAAACAAAAGAACAGATCAAACATAAAAAGCACACATGCACAGCTAAAATCAAACTGATCGTGATACATACAAAAAATCATAAAAACTTGCATTCAGTACTTGTAAGAAGTATAGGATTATTTAAACACATTTTTAACCGCTCTAGGGACCTTGAATCTTAAACCCGAAACAACTGAGAATTCAGCAGATGGGGAGGTGTTTTTTTATTATATTTTATTTATTATTTATTATTATTTTCATTTTATGCCACTGTCAAAATGTCCCTCCATCTGTTTTTGTGGCTTGGCAATCACCTTCCCTGCATTAGTAACTATTCTAGAAAGCTAAGCGTTTTACAAATGTGTGGAGAGCAGCACTAACCTGGATGTAGCGCTCGAGCTGGTCAATCTGCATGGGGAAGTCAGGGTGGTTGTTATTGTACAGCGCCACGTTGCGGCAGGCCTGGTGCAGCATGGAGAACAGGGACCCCAGGCAGCGCAACCGGGTGAAGTCCATGATGTGCTCCATCTTGGAGGCATGCTCCAGCGCCTTGATCACAAGCCCCGTGGAGGTGAAGTATGGCTGAAGGATGGTGGCAGCGTCTCTCTGGATCTGCATTTCAGAGAGTAGACAATATAAGATAAGATCACTTTATTGGCCATATAAAATGTATTGTATTAGAAACTCGTCTTTCGCATACCCCTTGCTCTCCATGAGACACGCAGGCAGGGAGAGAAGATTGGGGTCAGAGAGCAGGGTCAGCAATTTATAGAGCGCCCCTGGAGCAGTTGGGGTTAAGGGCCTTGCTCAGGGGCCCAACAGACTGGGATTCCTCTGCCAGCCGCGGGATACGAACCAGCAACCTTCCAGCCACAGGAGCTGATCCTTAGCCACAGAGCCACCGCCCCAATTTAAAGAACTGTATGATTATAACTTGACCTATTTCAATGGTAAACAACATTTAGGTATTCCAATACCTATGATTAATCAAGAATTCTCTTACCAAGAAGAGAAACCACAGATTTCTGACAGAAGTCAGGCAGATTACAAGAGCAGTAACTGGTTATTTAGCAGAGAAGAATAAGCAATTCTCGATGGTTTCCCCAATTCCGAAAGGAGTCAAAAGCAGCGGCGCTGCTGTGTGGACAAACCAAGCACTCGAGAAGCAGATCAGGGGTGCAGAGCTGTGAAGGCACATGAGAAAGCACAGGTACCTGCAGCATAGGGGAGGCAGTCTCTTCGCCTTCATCCTCCATGCCCTTGCGCATGCGCTGTGCCTCGTCTTCTCCCTCATCCAGCGGGATGCTGCGCAGCCGTGCCAGGAAGTTGTTGAAGATCATGTCGGTACTGAGGACGTCCTCACTGAACCATACCATACCACAGCGCGACACTGTAGCCAGTGTGGCATACTTCAGGTCCTGCACCTCAAACATGATGCGCACCTGAGGCAGACAAAGACAGGAAACCGTTCCATTATATCATCCAGGTGGATGCTGCACATTGGTGGTGGTGGAGGGGAGTCCCCATTACCTGTAAAACGCTTTGAGTGGAGTGTCCAGAAAAGCGCTATATAAGTGTAAACAATTATTATTGTACTGCATACAGAAAACCTTTGTATGGAGATGGATTAACTTGACCTAGTTTGGTGCACTTTTCTAATCGAGTATTATTTGCAAAACTTTTTAAAATGTTTTCCTCTTATAAGAACTGCTTTATTCAACTAATTTTCCTTTCACAATGTGAAAGGAAAATCCCATTATTATAGATTATAGCATACGGCAATTGGACCCGTTCTTTAATGAATGAGATAAAGTGAGCCACTATCTCTATAAACATTTAAAAATATTCCTTAAGAATACTATTTCTTATCTAATATTTTTTGTTTACTGAATCAGAAAATTATCTGTTTCTCCGACAACAAAGCAGATTTCAAAGCACTGGTCTTTTTAACATCTTGAACATGTGTTTGGCAGCGTTTCTCTTTTAGAAGGGCACCTACATTAGGTGGAAGACTGAGACGTTCTCCATTGGGCAGGGTAAGCAGCTTGTTATCATCCAGCACCGAGTTCAAGTTCTCCACCCACTCAGGGTCCACATCACCATCGAAGATGATCCACTGGCGCTTCTGTAGCTCACCTCTCACGTTGTCAATAATCCTGGACAAAAGCAAACATGCTCTCAATAAAAGGGCTCAAACCAACTCTTTATCAAAGAACAAATAACATTCTAACATGCTGCCCACTTTCATTAATGTCTGTATGACTGCTGCATCTAAATTGCAGGTTGGTCACAATGTAAAATGGCAACTGTAGACCTTAAGTTGAATGCATATGATTTTATACCTTATCATATATACATGATTTTAGATCCCTAAAAAGCTGAAGAGTCCTTAAAAATAATTTTAGCTCTTTAATATCAAGGAGTAAGACCTAACATATTATACTGTAAACCTCTATTCCCCGCCAAATAGCCACAGTTTGACACAAAAGAGCAGCTCAGCTTACTTCCTAAGCACATGTGTGAACAAGCCATCAGTCCACTCTCGGGTGTTGGGGTCCAGTGTCCCGTACAGGTGGTCTTTGCTGATAGCCTTTGGATCAATGATATGGGCCACTCCCTCAACCCCCTCCAGTCTCTCCAAGGCTTTGAGCAGCACTCTCCAGGCCATGGACTTCCCACTACCAGAGGGGCCCACCATCATCAGCCCGTGGTTAATCTGCGTGATCTGGTACAGCTGCAGCACCTGCAGACAGAACAATCCCATACCATGAACTAGGCCACCATTTGAAGGAGCTGCAAAGTCATATCAATTCTATTTCCACTTCTTTAACAATAGTCAATATCGACTGCTTAATACCTTGAAGATCATTTTCTATTTTACAGCTTATAACAAGAGTGATGCCTTATGGTTTCTTTTAACATTTCAATCATTAGAAGCCAAATGATACCTGCAGTATCGACTTAACTGTCCAGCCTCAATTATCCTTAAACGCATGACAATGAATCAAAGGGTCTTATGTATTTTATAAATTTACTGATCTTTCAGCATTCAAATGAGAATTTTCCATTTTTGCTGTGCAGGGTGCACGTGTTTTATATGCACAATTCATTACAGGGAGGAAGGAGCCAGGTGGCTCTCCAAGGCACACACTACTGTCCATAGGGGAGGACTGTACCTTTTCCACCCACATGCCTCCCACGTCTTCTCCTCCTCCATAGGTGAGGTACATCTCTGCGCAGACTTTCTTGAGCTCCTCGCGCAGGGCGGTCATCTCTCCGCGGTGGTACTGCACCCCTGGGAACACATCTGACAGCAGGCTGAACAGGAGTGGGATGTCCTCTGCCACCAGCTTGGGTACCATGGTCTCACACACACTCTGGATCAAGATCTGAGGGGAGGTTGCATTAAAAAAGAGTGAGCAGAGTAGAACGATGCCCAATATCGGTTCAACAAAATACTTGTAAAAGAGTCAAGACCATCTCTAAAAGCAATGACAGGACACCTGTAAAAACAATAAATGGTGATCTACCTTCTCGATGTTAAGTTCTTAAACCATAATTTTCAAGGATTATCTGATAAATCAAATTATAAAAGTAAATCCTAAGAATACAGAATCAGGGCTTCACAACATATCATTTGGTCCCCACCTTGTGATGTTTAAATCCCAAAGTTTTCCACATTTGGAAAGGAGTTAAGGATCACGTTAATGTGTGTACTCAACTCATTGCCGATCTTAAGGTTATACCACCATTTTTTAAGTTTTGTAAAGAGCATCAATTTCTTTATGTTCTTCTTTAAGGTTAGAACCAGTTTTTGATAAAAGCAGCAAATGATTAGTTAAAATACTGTTTTATATTGGTCTGAAATAAATGTGTAAAAAAATCAAACAGGTACATCTTCCTTTTTTATAAACTGCCAAGCAGTGTTGATTTATTACTTCTGTCCAATGTCAATGATTCTACAGGCACATTACCTCCTGCTCAGGTAGATTCTCCGCGATTTCTCCCTCATCCACATCCTCTCCACGCTCTCTCTTCTCTCTCTTGATCTTCTGGATGTGCTCTCTCTTCACATTTCCTGCACTCACCAGCACACTCTTCAGGGCACGCAGGCCAAAGTCATAGTGACTCTGGGAGGACAGCTGCTCATCACACAGCCTGTGCACAAACACAGAGCATGGGTGTAATTCTGAATGGACAGGCTGGTTCAAATGATAGAAGCTAGAAGCAGCCCCAGAGGACCCACTGTTTGATGTTGAACAGGGTGAGCTGTTGGCTCATGGCAAGAGATGTCTCAGAAAAGTCATAAAACCTCACTCCTACTGCCTATAAATTAAGGTCTCCTCCTGCGCATCACTGGAGCAAATTTCCTCAAGGAACAATTTTCAAACACATGAAACTATGACTGTTAAGGAAATGGGCAACTAAAGCCACTTAATACCAAATCAAAGATTTCCACATGTACAAACATGCCCACATTCTAAAATAGGAGACATACTTGAAAAAGGGGACGATCTTCTTGGCCAGGATCTCAGCAGTACGGAAGCCCTGGGAGTAAAGCATGACCTGGGCAATCAGCTGGCGGTCAGGCTTGGTCATGGCCAGGCTGCGGAAGAGCTTCTTGAGGTTATCTGGCAGGTTAGAGCGACCGGCGTAGCCTGGGTTCATGGTGATGAAGATGGCCATGTCTGGGCTCACTTTCACTTGCTTGTTCAGCAGCTCACAGGTGATGGTCTGACTGCCTGCTAGAGATTTAAATTACACTCAAATTACCATACACACACTACTCACGGGTTTTGTTAAATGTGAAAATGATTAAACTAAAAAAATAAACTAAATGCTGAAACACGTCAAAATGTTATTTGAGAAATGTTCTAGGTGCTTGCTTCCTTTGCATTGCTCTAAAGAAAATATGAATCTGTAATGAAGGAATGCAACCTTTAACAGCACAAGACAGTTTCTGCCTGACAGAGCTCCTGTATTTAAATGGGAAATTCTGTAGGTAGAGAAAACACAGCATAAGGAGAGCATACGTACCACGGTCGCGGTTGGGATTGTTGTGTTCTCTTAGGGCAACCTGGATGAACTGGACCTGCTGCGAGACAGCCGACAGCATCCTCTCCTCCAGTCGGTTGAACTCATCGAAGCAGCCCCAGGCGCCCACTTGGCATAGCCCCACGAAGATTCGGCCCATTGCCTGCAGAGCAGGAAGCCACAGGTCACTGCCAGCCACCAGCCATCAGGCATCCACACAAGACAACTGCTACAAGTCATTTCTGAATCCGAATAGATGAGCTCATCTTGCAAGCTGGGAGGGTTTCTAATTTCCTGGACCTAAACAATTAATAGCAACTTGGTTTAAAGTATTTTGAGTGTCTTACAGAGAGAACTTATAAAAAAGACAATCAAAGAATCCAAGATTGAAATACAGGAAGGTGAAAACAGGAGCCCAAGTGACCATTTACACATACCTGGAAATCAAAAGTCTCATCACAGTTGAATACCAGCACAAAGCGTCCCAGCTGGTGACCAAGAGCCTTCACAGACTCCGTTTTCCCTGTCCCAGCCGGACCTACAGCAGTGCAAAAAAACTTTATTAACACAAAAATAAAGTGTTAAAGACCTCAATAAAACTTGCGTTAAGACTAAGAAAAGAATAAAGTTAATAATGTTATTGACTACGCAGACTGGAACAAAAAGCAGATGAGACCTGGTCTCTCAAAAAGGGAGCTTAAGAGCCATGCGCCAAGTACTGTGGCAATTAATCTCTATATCTCCAGAAGTGAAAGGCTATCTACTGACCGAAGGGAGATCCACCAAGCCGAGCCTCCAGAGCCTGTGTCATGGTCAGGTAGCAGCGGTCAGTTAGGGGTGTTTGCACCAGCTTGTCCTGGACACCCAGGTACTCAAAGCCATAGTTAAACTTGGCATTGGCCATCTGGATAGAGAGCTGCTGCAGCACATCTGTCTGCTTGGGGTCGAAGTAGAAACGCATCTGGCAGAGCCACTCAAAGGACTTGGGGTTGTCAATCTTGTTCTTCATAAGAGTTCTGGTGACGTCCCTCTGGTGCACAAGCTCCGTAATCTGTTCAGGAAAAAAAAAGGAATGAAGTCTACATTTCCAAGATGGGCCTGTTCACTGGTTGCATACCAGATCCGCAGCACCAAAATGAATCACAACAACGTATAACAACGTGAATAACGTGAATGCTGCCAGTCTATGCTAACTATAATAATCCATCAGGATATGCAAAACAGCCTTTGTAACTACAGTATATGTGAATATCACTCTTCTATATGCTAAGAGCACAATGCTCAGTTTTGACCCCTCCATTGTCCATCCTGCAGAGTCTCCAGGTCACTCACCAGGTGCTCCAGTTTCTTCCTGCGTAGTGGCGGCTGCTCCATCAGCACAGTGTCGGCCAGCACATTGAGAGTGGCCTCCACGTTAGACAGCACCGCCTGCATGGGAGACATGTCTCCTCCACTGGCACTAGCAATGGTGTTGAGGGCATTCTCCACATTTTCAGACCAGGCAATCTGAGCTGACAGAACCACAAGCTGGGCCTAGAAACAGGGAGTGACAGGATTTAGTCAGTGCACATCTACACATATCCGCTCCATGATCTGAAAGCAATGTTCTATAGCAGGGGTGCCTAACCTTTTATAATATAAGATCTACTTTTTCATTTGCCAGTTCAGCGCGATCTACCAGTATGAATTTGAAGCTCTGATATAGGAAAAACAGACTGTGGACAGTACAATAATACCCATCACTAAAATGACAGCAAATAAAAGCAAGTGACTTAGCACACACCGTATTGTTTCCACAGATTATAACGGACATCATTTAAACAGCTTATAAATTACTTTTGGTACTTGATCAAAATGTCATCTCTGTAAATGATTAGTATCGTAATTTTCAGCTTAGTTTTATTTTCAGTCTAAGCTGTATCTACAAAGCTCCCATAAACTCACAAATTCTTGAGTAACTCAGATTATACAAACAATGAAGTAGTCTGTTCGAGTAAGAGTACGTATTGTAGGCTCTAAAGGCAATCTAAAAGCACACATACTTGGTATCTGTCGATCCAGTTGATGTAAGTGGCCAGGTCAATGGCTGTACCCTTGTTAAACACTCCGACTTCAGTGACGGACTCTGCAAGCAGCTTGGCCAAGGTCACCCTCATCTCTTTCTCCACCAAAGTCAGCCACTCATTGATCTTTGGGTGCTCTGTGATTGAAACTGGGGTCTTGTAAATAATCTGGGAGATGAAAGTAGACATATCAGTATTGATGACCACATGATGCATAAGAGAGACTTTGCCCACTCCCCCACCAGAGCAGTGTCATCTTTAAATCGGTGTTGGGTTCCATCTTTATACATTTGGAAAACTGTGCACTAAAACCCTGGCAGTAGAGCAACAAAAAAACAGGACCTTACTAAAGGTCGAAGCCAATCTGGAGATCTTAAGTAAAAAGATACAAGGCAGTGCTACAATAAGGAAGCGATTCAATCTTTAAACACTCCGCCGTTCCACACCCTCCACCCCATGTCGGTCTCGTACCTCCTCTCCTTCTCGGGAGGAAATGCCCAGCACTTCGGTGTTGTCCTCGTTCAGAATGATGCTGGACACGCCCGCAAACATCTTCTTGAAGTGTTTCTGCAGTTTGGCTACATTTTTGCTGTTACCAATAATTTCCAGCAAGTCTTCATCACCCACAAAGTAGAACCTATATAAGACATGGATAAAAAATTACTTTAAAGAGAAATCAAGGGCCCTAAGGCAGCTTCTGCATGGCCATCCTGCACAGGGGCTTCACGGACGGCTTTACAAGGGCTTCCCGCTGCTGCAGTGGATGAAATGGGTATGGTGGCAATCAAATACCGTGGGAAGGATGAGCGCTCCCTCTCCAAGTATTCTCCCAGGGCTTTCTGGATCTTTCCCAGCAGGTCTGCCAGCCTCTCCAGAGATCTCTGCACACCCTGGATGTTCAGGACATCCATCACCAGTGGGGACTTTGTCACTTTCTTCATCAAGGCCAGGAACTCGGTGCTGATGCTGTGTGACATTGGGGGGGAAAAGTGTAGATTAAAGCGGTTTGCACGCGACTTTAATCATTTAAATAGTTGCTGTATAAAGAATGGTTTGACAGACAATGTTCTTGAAGTCTGTTTTTGCAGCTCGGTACTTTTTATCGTAGACCACAACGGAAACTCCTGCCCATTCCCTATCCTTACCCACCTCTGGAATCTCTGAGTCTCGACTGGCAGCAGGTGCTTGATGTCAGCACTGCCGGTGAAGATGCCCTCCAGATAGACCCAGCGGCGCTGCACATCTATCCATACATCAAACAGCGCCATTATTCTGTTCAGCTTGTCCTCCCAGCTCAGTGCATCCTCCTCAAACACCTGCAGCACATGGGACAATTCCGTGAACAGCGGGTACAAAGAAGAGACGGAACAAAGCAGCTCCGCTGGTCTTCCCTTCGGTATGCCATGCAGCAAAATTCTAACCCTATCCAACCATAAAACATACAGCGTTTAACAAAGACAGAGGAAAAAAGACATACACCACGACATAAGGAGATTTGCGACTGCTGGAAGGCATGGGGGAGGATATACCTTGTAGTATGGAGAGAGCTTCATAGCGGAGACGCTGTTGATGTGTTCCTTGACTTTGTTGAAAAGGTCGTCCCATCCACGGATCAGCCGGCACTTGTTCTGGTAGTTGACCAAGTCTAGCTCGTAGGTGTTCCACACCTCCCGAATCTACAAGCAAAGAGTCAAAAGCTCTATAAGCAAATCTTCAGCAAAAATGGTCCCAGAAAAGGAAAGCAAAAGTATCTCTTCTTAAGTGGTAAGAATCTTATTACTCTGTTCTAGTCATAACTGTTGAGCTTGTATCTAATGCATTTTTTAATGTTAAAAAATGAGTCTGAAAAACACTTTGGTAGCACCTCATGGCTGGGAAGGATTTTAACCAGAGTCAACTTCACTTGTGTATTAAAAAGACTTTAAGAGAGCAGTGATGGCTTTTCTTGCACGAATGTTGCTTCCACGTTATGTTGCTATATAACCGACCTGCTTGAGGAACTCCTCGAGGGCCATCTCTCCCTGTGCAACCAGCAGAACATCTTTGACGATAGCCTCATTCTTCTGCAAGTCAACATCCCAGATCTGGCCCAGCGTTAACTCTGACAGCACCCAGTTCACATGTAGCCTCTTCATCAGCTGCTTCCAGTGCCGGTCCTTCAGTGCCTCCGATTTCAGTTCGATCACCAGCATGTTTATCTACAAGCCAGAATGCAGAGATAATTTAAGCCCCTTATGAGTAAATTCAGGCACATATGGATAATTATATACAGTACCTCCTTGCAATGCACAGCCCTATGAAATATCAAATTAAATCATTGTTACTTTTGGATTAAAGACACAAATTTAAGACTCTTTAGAGAGTTTATGCTTTTACAGAAGACTGCAATTTAATATTTAAAATTTCCTTCAAAGCTGAAGCTTTGAAATTTCCTTCAAAGAATGAGACTCACCTTCATGTAGCCCTTGAGCAGTCTCTGCACATACTCATAGGAGGCATACTGCCGGAGACGAGCTGGGAAGTTCTTCAGCTGGTTCAGGAGACCATCCAAGCTTTGACGCAGCTACAGAAAGAATCAAGAATAAAAAAAAAAATGATTAGCACAGTGGGTTTTAAAAATTAGACCAGCTATACACTAAATTCAACAGTGCATTTAATTTTAGCAACAGGGTAAAGCAGTACCTTGCGTGGCTGCACAGAAACCCAGGGCTGCTCCTTCATCTGGTCAATCTGCTCCCACACCTTAGACAGCTCTGACCACACTCCCTTCAGGTCTTGCAGTTCCTCCAGAGCCACCTGCACCAGAAACAAGTAAAGAGACAGATGTGCATCTGACATTCCTCTGAGTGAAAAAAACAGGGACAAGTGAAAGGGGGTCTGATGAGTGTTAACAGGACTGTGTGCACCGTGTGAGACAGCAGAGCTACGGTGTACCTGCACGCGCTCCTCGCTCCCGCTCAGCAGCCCAGTGTCGGTTAGCTCCAGGGCTTCCTTGGCTTTGGCACATTTCTCTCGGTCGTCCTTCAGGCGTCCAAACTTGCCCTCGTAGATGGTCAGGGCCTGGAGAGCTTCCTCTGGTCTAAGGTTTCCCTACAGGTGATGAGCAAAACGCCATTGAACAGAGCTGCACATATGCTGCACAGGGTGCATATTGTCCCACTACGATCAGATGTTTGAGACTGACTTTCTAGTTGAAAACCTATGAAAGAGTACACCACTAAGCAAAAAAGCTTTTTTAAGAAACTAAGGGTCTCATACTTCATATTAAAGACTTAAGTCCTTGAAATGTTCGCCCCAGGAGAGGGGAGGCGGGTGAGAAGACTCACAGCGACCGGCTTGGTCTTCTCCCAGTCTGTGAGCAGGTCGGTGGTGCGGCTCTCCACGGCGCGGTCCTCCTGCACAATCTTCATCTGCAGGTTGGCCACCTGTTGCTGGATGGCCGTGTCCTTGCGCCTCATGATGTCGCTGAACGCCCCCCACTCTCCCTCGATGTTGTCGATGTACAGCCAGGATGGAGGGAACTGGAACCGTTGCTTCTCCAGTAGACGCTGGCCATTGCGGTAAAGCTGACGCAGGAAGGAGGAAGTGGAGGAGGTTACAGGCAACAAGTTGAAGTCTTAACCCATCCAGCCGAAATCCTTCTAATCCTAAGGTAAGGGTCATGGCAACCTGGAGTCTAGCCCAGGAGCACAGGCTGTAAAAGTGGGATTACACCCTAGATGGTACACCAGAACCCACACAATGCATACACACACAATTCACTTTAGAGACACCCGTATGTCTTTGGAAGATAATTACAAACTGGAACACCTGGCAAAAAAACACTAACAGGGAAAATATGCAAACCAAACAGAACAGGGACACCAGTTTGGAAGTAAAGCTAGGACCCAAGGCGACCAATAAAAAAAAAAATTAAACCTAATGCTCAGAATTGGTATCTAGTGTTCACAGGGAAACAATACAAGAGCTATAGATTTAGGCACAGTTATGCTACTAGTTTTTTTTATACAAGGAAAGATAAAGCTAATTCAGTTTATAGAGGCCTCCCTTACATCGACTTGCTTCTCAAACTGCTTGATCTTGCGTTTCAGGGACTGCACATAGGTGATAAAGGTGACGGCATCGGAGGTGCTGGCGGTGTCCACAGAGTGCTGCTCCAGCTCTTGGCGGGACTGTGAGAACAAAACAAGTGAGTGAGGTAGATGCTAGGAAGCTGCCCACCGGTACTTCATTATGATGAGGCACTTGCCATTTACGCCTACCTTAGAGATCTGAGAGTGGAAATCCTGCATGTTCTGTCCAAGCATCTGCCCAAATTTGCTCAGAACTTCTTTGTGCCAAGAATCATATTTCAAGTTCACCTTCGACTGGACCTGTATTTCGAGAGGGAAAAAAGATAAAAAATGAAACAGTCTCATCTGTTCTGACAGGATGTGACAGGAACAGAACAGCAATAGTGCACTGGAGTCAAAAACTGAGCTATGATTTGGAGGTGCAAAAAAAAGGTACCAAACCGAACTATTTTATAAACCATTCATGTCAAACAATCTCCAGGTTCAGTCAGTTGATTTTACCTTGCCGTAGTCTATGACCACAGGGCCAAACTCCTTCTTGGTCTCGGCATTATCAAAGGTTCCTCTAGCTTTTCGGATCTGAACCAGCAAAGCCTGCCACTTGTTCAGATCCTCCCCGAGACGGTTGTAAATGTTCTCTGCCTGCATGTCCCACAGACACTGATACTGGAGCCAAACCTGAAGAATTGTGACAGGGAAAAGACATCAGCAAATATTTTTCAGGAACTTGAGATAGATATAGATATATTAGACTTTATTAAGCCCGTAGGAACATTGATGTGTTACAGCAGTCCAGCCCAAGACAAACAAAAACAGACATCAGAATAGTTATAAAACAAAAGACAACAAAATAAATATAAAAATAAATAAAAAATACATAGGTGTGTGCAAAATGTGCTGATCATAATCACTGTAAAAACAATAGAATGTGTGCAAAATGTGCATAGGTTTATACAGACTGATTGTCCAAAAAGTACATTGGAGCAACATGCTGTCCATAGACGAGCAAATGAAGGGCTAACAGTCCTAGCCTAGGGCAGCGTTATACACCCTGACAGCCGCCAAGAGGAAAGACCTGTGGAAATGTTCCCTTGAACACCGTAGCTGGAGCAGTCTGTTGCTAAAAGTGCTCCGCTGCCCAGTAACAGTCCCATGAAGCGGATGAGAGGTGTTGTTCATGATGGCTGTGAGCTTGGTCAGCATTTTCCTCTCAGCCACCACCTCCATGGGGTCAAGGCTCATCCCCAGCACAGTGCCAGCCTTCTTGATGAGTTTATTGAGCCTATTTGCATCTTTTGTCATGATGCTGCTGCCCAAGCACACAACAGCGTAGAAGATGGCCGCCACCACCACTGATTAAAAAAAAAAGTGTAACAGTGTTCCTCACACACCAAAGGACCTGAGCCTCCTAAGAAAATAAAGCTGGCTCTGACCTTTCTTGTACAGGGCGTCAGTGTTACCAGACCACACTAGCTTAACATCCAGGTGTACCCCTAAGTACTTGTAGGACTGTACGCCCTCTATGTCCTCACCCTGGATTGAAACAGGGTTCAGCAGAGACTTATTCCTTCGAAAGTCCAAGATCATTTCTTTGGTCTTGCTGGTGTTAAGCTGGAGATGGTTAAGATGACACCACTCCACAAAGTTGGTAATCAAGCTCCTATTTTCCTCCTCCCTCCCCTCTCTAATACACCCCACAATTGCAGAGGCAGCCGAAAACTTCAGCAGATGACATCCCTCAGAGTTGTACCTGAAGAAGTCAGAGGTGTAAAAGGTGAACAGAAATGGAGCAAAGACAGTCCCCTGTGGAGCCCCAGTACTACTAACAACCTGTTCGGACACACAGCTCTGTAGCCATACATACTGTGGCTTGCAGGTCAGATAGTCTATAATCCAGGACATCAGATGTTCGGAAGCACCACAGAAAAGGTGCATCACAGCCAGTGCTGCACTCCAAACTTGAAGTTTTTATCATGTCCCTTTAAACTGAAGTGGGTGAAAGTCACTTCAGTTTGGAAAAGTGTTTTTCCACACCTTGAAAAAGTGTTACTTGCTTTTCTTCACGGGGCATCAGAAACAAACCTTATTTTAACTTTGTACAGTTCAGAGATAACCGTGACAGCCCACACTTAAACACGTTTGTTTAGTTTCACAGATTAGTTTTGAATATTTTGTCTGTTTTTCTCCAGCAGTTCAACAAGAGATACCCAAAATAATTTTCCTTTAAAAAGGAAAGAAGGGATGAAGTATAGAAGATTTGCAATGTAATAGGCTTAGAAACAGATATAAAACAAAAGTACAAAATTCAGAACAGAATTTTAAACTTAAACTTTTAAAAATTATAAACTCAAACTGCAAACCATTAAAGTTTTGGTTACTGGAGTACTGGAATTTGAAATCAGTTTCTAAGATCATGGCACAAAACAAAGGCCTGTCAAATATAAAGAGAGCCATACCTTCACATACTGCTCCACCTCATTAACGTTCTCTCTGACAGCAGAGTAGGCTTCCTCTAAGGCAGCAGGGCCATCAGGCATCCTGGTCAGGGCATTCCTATAGTACTTCTCCTCCTCAGACAGTTCATAGTGCACCCCCACCTGACAGCAGAAAAATCACACTGCACTTGTTAACATGCAAACAATAAAATCTCTTCACTTTCAATAACCTGAGTTGAGCTGCTACTTTATTATTCAATTTCAGAGAAGCATGTCCACGCTGGGAATAATTCAGAAGTGAAAGACTAACACAAAATAAGCATCAATAACAGAATGAGCTTTTACACATTTCCAGCTGCAATAAGCTTTTGTAAAAATCTTTCTGTATCACACTACATGGTTGTCAAATTCAGATTAGACACAACAGAATCCACTTTTACAGGATTTGCTTCAGACGTTGAGACTTGCTTCCCAGTCAAGTATTAATAATTACTTAAACTGCAAACCTGATATCTCTGACTCTGAATTCGGGGAAGAGACAAGATGACCATCTTCCACGCAAACATCTCCTGATAAAGCTTGTACCGGCAGTCTTCAATGGGAGGGTTAAGGTAGATGACTTGATTCGTGATCCTCAGCTCATGTACAACATTCTGCAAAAGAAGATAACGTATGAGCAGCAAGAAGTAACTCCTGCATCATATTAAATACCACACGGTAGTAGCACAGCCCCTAATCAAACACCAATGCACATCTGCACTTAGAAAGCTCTGAAAGATATGGTCAACCTTCACAATGTGAACGTGAACTCTCACCTTGATCTTTGGTTCTCCTCCAGGCTTGTGACTGACTTGAGGAGCGTCAGTGTCCATGTCCACATCTGCTTTGTCTTCCATCTGTCCTCGCAGGACCTGGGTCCAGGCTCGGAGTCCGGCCTGCAGACGCACACCCAGGATCCTCTCGATCTGCACAGATATTAAAACAGGTAGTTTTGAGCTAACCCACACAGCACATCCAAAAACGTCAAAACAATTTATTGTTAAAAACTGTAAGAAATGTATTCTATTACAAGTTAGTCAACCTTCTAGTACATCTTCAAAGAATATAGTTAAGCACATCCCACGGTTTGAACAAGTTCAGACAAATCTGAATTCACTGACCTCCATGTCTAGCTTGTTGACCCATATAGGCAGGTTGGAGTAGGAGTGCAGGTTCAAGTCATCCACTGCCTTCTGAACTCGATTCAGGATCTCGGTAAAAGTCTTGTGGTCATACATGCAGGTCTCCAGAGAGCGCACCTCCAGGTCAATCTTCTCCTCAATGATGAGAAGGTCATCCACCTAGGAAAGGAAATGCAAAAAGATCAGCACTTACATTTTCAAACTTGTAATTACTTATCACATGAGAACTCAGATAACCATGGCAGTCAGACAAAATCTTAACATGTCTCACATCATTCAACAGGCATTTAACAGAAAATCCCCAACAGCAGCAAATCACTTTCCGACTGTCACTAAAAGAGTGACAATGAATTACTGAACCCTGGTAATCAAAATGCATAAGAAACTCCTGAAAGTAGAACCAGATAATATTATTAAAGACAAAGGGAGAAAGCTGAAAACTGACCTTCTCCTGGAAGTTGAAGACAGTTTCTGCCAGACGCTGGACGTAAGGATCGAGCTTGTAAGACTCCCACACGAGGGCGATGCCCTCTCCGATCAGAGCCTGCACCTCCTTCTTCAGCCCGGCCACCAGCAGGGAGATGGAGATGCGCTCCTCCACCTTCTCGCAAGTGCGCTCGTAGGTGCGCACGCTCTCAATCAGGGAGATGGCGAAGGGGTAGAGCTGGTTGGCCTGGTGGGCCTTGTTGACGATGGCCAGGGGCACCCGGAAGCCCAGCCACTTGAGGTTGCGCACTTCCTTGGAGAGGGTGATGATCTCGGGGAGGAAGTTGACCTTGAGTTTCAGCACATTGCCGCTGCGGCCCCGCGCCCGTGTGCTCTCGATGGTGAAGATGCGGCCCGACACGCCCAGGTTCCGCTGCTGGACCTTGCGGGCCCAGTCGTCGAAAATCTCCTGGGTGTTCAGCTTCATGCGGAAACTGTCGCCGTCTTGCTTCAGCTTCAGCCCCTCCACGTGGTTCTCCCAACCTTTGCCGAGCACGTCCTCCACTCGCTTCATGTAGGCGGTCAGCTGACGGTCAATCTGCTTGGCCCAGATGATGGAGCCGGAAACCGGAGGCAGGTCGCGTACGTGGCTCATCTTGCAAGCCTGGCTCTGGGGGTACTGTACCTTGAACTTGTCATGCAGGGACTCGATGTCATCCTTCACGCGCTGAATGAGCTGGGTCTGGTACTCGCGAATGGCCCCCCGAATGTGCGGGCGCACAAACAGGGCGTTGAAGCGGGAGAAGATGCGGAACATCTCGTTGGCGTTCTTTGCCGTGCCCAGCTGGTCGCGCAGGCGGGCGGTGATGCGCGTCTCCACGCGGTCGATCCGCTCGTCGTAGCGCTTCATCGCCGCCTCCCACGCCTCCATGCCTTCCTTCGACACGTCCAGCCCGTCCACCTCCTTCACATTCTCGTAGGCCAGATTCACCTCTTCGATGGCGTTGGCGTCCGCCGCGTCAAAAAGAACCTCTGCAACTTTCAGGTCTGGAGGCTCCACTGCCTCCCCTGGAGTCTGCTGGGGGACAGCGGATACCTGCGACCAACAAGCGACAGGGAAAGATTAGAAACACATTAATCGTCATAAGATTAGACTAAACGTTTAGTTTTTTTTTCTTCTATATGCAATTTAAATCCCATCATGATTTGGGCCATTTGTAACATGCACCAGATAGCCACACACAGGCAACACCATGATCTAAAAAATATTGCAATTATAACACTTGTAAGCTTATGTTTGTACTCAAAGCACCAATCCTAACATCCACCATTAGCAAAAGTTACTAATGTTTAAAATGCTTTTGTTAACAATATGTGCTTGAGATTCTGACACAATGCACAGACTGCAGGGAGCTGCAAATCAAGTTGTTCCATAACAGCAGGCGAGAAAGGAAAGTCATCCAACTGCTGGAAGGGAGGGAGGGGGTGCGTAGGACTGAGAATTCAAATTTTTTTTTATCTGTTTATAAAGAAACAACGCTTCCAGGGGAATGGGTAGAGAAAGAAAAAAAAACTTTTTCTTCCTCTAATGCTGCTATATGGTGCCTTGACTTCAGCTGAAATAAAGGCCTGATGATTGCTTCACCTCTGTAGCCTGGACTCGCATTCTTTTCCCGGTCTCCTAAAGAGGGTTCCCCTCACCAATCTGGGAAGCACAACTCAAGTCTCCTTGGGGGTCTCGTTCCCAGTGCCGTACCTGTGGTCTGAGGACGCGCACGATGACGGCTCTAAGCTGCTCGTGCTGCCGTCTGAAGCGCCTCATGTGATCCAGGCGGGACTGCAGCTTGCGGTGGGCGGGGTTGATGCGCCACACCATTTTGAGGTTCTCTTCCCTCTTCCTCTTCACAATGTCCCTCAGCAGCACCTGAAGCTTCTCATACTCATCATCCCAGGCTTGAAAAACCTCAAAGCATGCCACCATCACCTGAGAGAGAATGGACAGGGAGGGGATCAACAACAAGCTTGAGGAAGCATCACAGGCAAAGACATTTTCACCTACAAATGAAAGGAAATTTTCTTTTTGGCTGTTGACTGAAACTTTCATCAATCCACTCTACATCCTACCCAAGCTTACCGGTTTTCCGATCTACCTTTGCCACTCAAATCTGATTAAATCTCCTGTTGTTAAACCTTTTCAGTTTAAAGAGATGAAAAGCTCTACTGAAGAAAACTGACCTTGTCAAATTCTTCATAGGCCACATGCATGAGCTTCCTGGTCCCCAGGACTTTGAGAAGCTGGGAGCTGAGGTCCCTTGAAATAGCTTCCACTAGGCGCAGGGCTCGCTGAATGGGATATTTAGTGTTCCTGATCTTCCTCAGGTGGGTGAAAATGGCCACTAGGGCCTGGCGAATTTTGTCCAATTCTGTGGCTGACAGAAGGTCGTTCAGTGGAAAGTCTTTCATCAGGGGGTTGTAGTCATTGACAGTCTCCACAGCCTGTTTCAGACCTGCAAAAAAACCCATTGAACCTTATAAGACAGAAATAATTATTTCCCATAAACAATCAGGGAGGATAAGATGATTTAAAACACTTGGTTTTCTTCGTAAATGAATCACAAGTCAGTATAAACACACAACATAATGAAACAACGTGGTCAAAACAGAAGAGTTCACAAGCCCACAGGAATGCCCACTTACCAGTGTCAGTGTCAAAGCTGACAGTTGCGTGGAAACGTTTGCCGTGTTTGAGGATGTCCAGGGTGAGAAGAACCTCAGGGCTTTCCCTTTTTTCCTGGATGCGGTTCAGCGCACGCTCCAGATTGAGCCAGAAACTGATCTCTTGCAGTGCCGTTCCAGAGGCAGGGTCCCTGTCAAGCTTGGTCACCTGAATAACGGCAGAAGAGTAGCAGCAAAGGGTAAGGACAAGGTCTACTGAAACCCAGCACAGACCACAGGTGCTGCATGCTGACCCACCATGGTAGTGTTGGGTCAAAACAAAATATTTAAGTAGTATTCAAGTAGTTCAGCTATCGCTCTTTTTTTTTAACCTTGAATATGCAACCTTTAACAGTACATTATGAAGATCCAAAAAACAACTGTAATAAAAAAATACATGCAAAGATATTTTAAATACTATCTGCAGATCAAAGCCATGTTACAGTAACATTACTGTTTCATGGAGAAGTTTAACATACATTAGCAATGTAATGGTGCCTTATGTTATGCTACTAAAACACAAAAATCAAACGGTGTCCCATGCCCCCTCCTGTTCACACCTTCTGAATCTCTCTGATCCAGCGGTTCACCCCAGACTGCAGCTGGTTGAGGAAGGTGGGGTCCTCCACTTTATCCCCGAAGTCGGTGACCTTGGGCTTCTCCCCACGCTCGTAGCACTGCTTGGCCGTGTTTGTAATGATGGGGTGGATCTGCAGGCTGATCTCGGGGATCTCGATGTTCTGTTGCAGGTGCAGGAGCCCCATCTCCAGCTCCGCGATCTTCTTTTCCACGGAGGGCGCCATCTTGTCGCCATCCCTGGAGCAGCAGGAAAAAAACCCAAATCAGGTACTATTGATCTGTTACAGAGAGATTTAATAAGGGGCCTTTAGCTTCACAATTTGGATTCAACACTGTACCTAGGCAACATTGCTTTCAACTGCATTACTACTCTACCTTTAAAAGTAGTCTATTGGTTGATTCAAGCAAACAAGAACATTTCCACTGTTTGCCATTTATTTACAATTAGCTCCCTTAAATTCATTTATCAATACACGAAATCTGCATCCACTTTCAAAGTATCCTAAACTCATGAGTATCTGCAGACATTCAGGGTGCTTAGATGCATAATAATTTAGCTGATGTGTGGTGAGTGTTCTGGTGCACCATGGCTGCTGTCGCATCATCCAGGTGGATGCTGCACATTGGTGGTGGCGGAGGGCAGTCCCGATTACCTATAAAGCGCTTTGTGTGTGGTGTCCAGAAAAGCGCTATATAAGTTTGAGCAATTATTATTATAATCTTGACAGGCAAAGCACAACCTTTTAATCTTAAGGTGTACCTGTCAGCCTTCCCAGACTCCCGGATGTAGGATTTGAAGAAGGGGGCAACGGCGTTGCTGATGAAGGAGTGTAGTGTCTCATAAGGAGAGTCCTCGCTGAGCGTCAGGACACGCAGCTGTGATGAAATGGGCTTGTCAGCATCGATGACCCCTGTCCTCTTGATGCATGCCAGGCTGCAAAGGTGCACACACAAGACACGGACTTAAACACATTGCTTCACTTTCCGGGTTAGAAGGAAAAGTGCTCTAGCCAGTGTGCTGTTGGTTAAGCTCAACGGGATCACACATCTTCTCATTAAGTCAACAGGCTGGTTGAACAAATATACTGGTTTGTAGAACAAAAGTTGTGTTACCTGAACACAAGAGCTACATTGGCTAACTAAAGTGATAACTGCAAAGTGTTCACTGCACAAATGCAGTTAAATAACTCAACTATCACATTACAGTAAGTACATTTCAACACTTCTTTCATGTGTGCTTTTGTAATCCTTGCTCTGAAATCAAGTTAAAACTAATAAGAAAAGCAACAAGGACTCGCCTTGTTATTTCAAAGCCTAGTTTTGCTATGAAAATAAAATATGCTTGTGTAGGCAAACATTTCTATATCTATTTATTAAAAAATAATCTCAAATTATCTACTATATTTATGGACCTTGTGTTGCTCTGATTCACCATGAAATATTAAATATACAGTACAATGAAATCATTTAAAAAAAAGTAATTCTTTCCAACTCCAAAGTAAAACAAATATGACAAGTGTGGCAGTGCTCTAATAAAGAGTATTTTACACTACTGCAGTGCAATGCTGTTTCCGCAGGAGACAGACTCTATAGTCTAGCTTTCCAAACCTGTTTGACTTGAGCCCATAGTGAATATCAATGCTGATGTTGTAAGAGATGCACTCCTTCTCCTCTTCTCCCTCATCTCCAACATCCTCTACAAGGAGAGAAAGGGAAGAATAATTCAGCAGTCTAGGTAAAACTCCTCTGTTCAAGACCCAAAGGAAAAGAAAAATCAATTCAAATTAAGAGGAGGAAAAGAACAGATACTGTACTTGATACGCAGTTAAATCCTTAGTCTTTAATCCTGATATGGAGAATGTTTTTTTGCTGCTTGAAACTATTATGATGCAGACAAGAAAATACCAACAAAAAAAATTCCGTCATGCAACACAGCAATTCCTGCTGGAATAATAATACAAAGTTCCTGTTTCAGGATCAGCTGATGTCACTGTGGGTTGGGCACTGGCCCAGTGTACTGAATGATGTAATCACTGCAGATAGAAATGCACTGACATGGCAGTGCCGAAGTGAACTTTGTCACTAAAGCAAGACTCAATGTCACACTGCAACATACAAGTTCTGAAACTAGGTATTAGCAAGGGGGTCCCATGCAGAAAACAAACCTTTCGTTGAAGTGCAAAGCAATCATTGAATTGACAACACAGAGACAAAATCTGGTGATTTAAATCAAGAGATAACTCTTAGGTAACTAGCAATTAATAAATCTGCTGAAAGGCGAGAAATACAGACCCTCCACAGAGCACCAGGCACTATACCCTAAACTGATTATGATGCACTTTTCTCTCATTTCATTTTATAAAAAGATCGCATACAGTCAAAGCATGAAAACATCAAACGTAAATTCTAAGAAATGTTATATTTAAAAACGGCAAGCTGCTGTAGACCTGTCGTTTGGAAAAGCAAACTTATTATCGTCTTCGCGCAGGATAAATATACTCTTTGTCTGGGCACGGTGCAATGGAGACTTCCGTAGCACTACTTGCAGGTAAAAAGAAGAAAGGTTTCTATAAGACGTTTTACCATCTCAGGACCTGTTTAGACATTGCATGAGGACACGAAATCTAGCCCGAAATAATATCCTGAGCATGGGATATGTCCAATTACTAAAATATATATTTGCATGCGAGGATCTAATTTGGGATTGCGGCAAACTGAACTTCCACTAAGAGAATAATTATACTTTGGTGCTTGAGATATAACCAACTTTAAAACCTTTATTTTAAAGCCTAGATTTTTACGATCCGGTAATATTTTAAGAAACTACCAAGGCGCGATAAACGGAAAGGCATATAAAACTGTGATTGTTGTAACTTTTAATAGGCGAATACCACCTCTTCTTAACTCTAGAGGACTGATCATTAGCAGACCACACCTACTGGAAACCCTGGGGAAGCAGCATCAGTTCAAACACACGGGTGAAGCCCAATGCTCCACCCTTGCGCTTTTCACAGACTGTGTCAACAGAACAACTAGTGTTCGTACGCAAGTACCGAAAATCGGGAAAACGACAACAAACGGTCACCGAAAGGAAAATGACCGCAAGGCGGATACACACCAGCGAAACTGATGCTATTCCCCGCCGGATACCTAAAATAACCTAATTTAATGAGAACGTTTCTTTAAAGCACGGCGTATCAACTACTGACCCCGAAAAACAACTGCAGCTCAGTCCGTGAATTCCCCAATAAAACCGAGGTCTATTAAAGCGACAGTTCTATTCAAATAGCTATTAAAACGCAAATGAAAGGGTCCATCGTGAAGTGGGAATATGCGTTAAAGGGCTGATTCTGCACGCTGAGGCTCGTACAGGGTACCACGAAGCCAGAAGCCCTCAGGCTGTGTCTCAGCAGTCTGGCTGGAGAGTGATGCAGCATCATTTGGCGCTGGAGATGCGCCGATGGCACCAGCCCCCCACGTCACCTCAGCCTAAGCACCGATTCTCACACCTCGTACGGCAACGGACCTTTCAAGGTGTTCCTCTCCACCAGGATGGTGTGGACCTGCGGGTCCGAGAGGAATTTCCTCATCTGCTCCAGCGAGCTCTTCTCCTCCAGGGCGGTTTCCAGGGAGGCCGGGGCCTCGCCGCCATCTTCCAGGAGCAGCGGGACAAGCTTGCGGATGTGCTTCTGCAGCACAGACGTGTCAGCAACGGTCTGCACGGCGGCGGACACCTCCAAGGTGCCCGAGCCGTCGTCTCCGCCGCCTCCTCCGCTATCAGACATTTTCCAGTGCGGTCTACCACTGAATGCTATACGATTTATTCCACGGAAGAGGAAGAGAGAAAATCACCGCTCCTGCTGTCGTCGGTTAAATGAAACAGACTCCAGCGAGGCTCTGGTCAAATGACAGCTCTGAGCGACGAGAGCCGTGACGTAGGCGTGCGCCGTGCATTCTGGGACTTGTTGTTTATAGCTACGTCACTTTGATGGCGGTCGGCATAAGAAGAAATACAAATCCCATAAACCAACGCAACCATCCCGATCTGGAGTGTTGTCCATTGTCTTTTTCTTTGAGAAAAAAATAAAAGGGAGTGGTTCTCTGTCTATGCAGAAATACTGGGGCGTGCTATTATTTATCCTTATTTCTGGATTATGATCATACGTATAGTAAGTGTAATGCTCGTGTAACTCCAACGGTATAATGGTTGGTAAAAGCCCCTAATGTGTTACAGAACCAGCGCAAGAAAGCTAGAAATCTTTTTTTTTTTTAGATTTTCGTACTTGAAAGGCTTTTGCCAATCTATATGTATATAACTGCGCATAAAACAAATTTCCGCAGTGTCCCATTACTTACTGTAACGCATTGTGCGGAATGTTGTTAGCTCTTCCTGACGTTAATAATTCACAAGCAATTATTTGAGCACGTTTGTGATGAACTTGTCCCTCCTGTATCTGCGCACTGTGCTTCCGCAGGGGAGGGTCATGCATAGAACAGGCTTGTCTTTTTCTTTTTTTTGTTATATATTTATTTAACTTTAATATATAACTTATAGCTATTATAATGAAGACATATAAGCGAGGTCGGTTGTTGGATGTACAGCAATGCAGCGCTACAATTGATCGAAAAAGTCAATAGGCTGCAGCACTATTGTTACTTAATCACTGTATAGAAGAGCACGACCATATCTGCCTCTGAAAAAGTACTGTAAGCAACTAAAAGTGCATTTAAAGTGATATTTTTCTCTTAGGTTTCTGTTGTGAAAAAAAAAATCTATTCAGCAGCATTTACGGATTTGGCTCCCGAAAACAAGTGCAATACAGCAGTCCTATAATCCTGCAGTCGATCCACCCAGATTCAACCGCAGCTCATTTCTCCGTAGTATTATGTAAACTGTGGAAATATTCTGGATCAACAAAACGTGAATGTTTATTTCATTTCAGTAAAAAAAAATGCTGAGCTTTAAACGAGCTTTTAGTACTGTTGTAACGGGGTTTATCTGATGGTAAGAATTGAAACGTTATTACTAGTCTGTTGTGTTATCATTTCACATCGCTAGAGGACGATATCAAACTGCTAAAAATGATTTATGGGTACACTACTTCAGTCTTATTCGCTTGAAAAATCGATTGTATCGTAAGGTTATTCGAAATTAGGTAACTTTCATATACCTAGAAGAAAATTCTATTTAGGAAAGATAGTATTCTGTGCAAACTGAATGAAACATTTTCCGAAAACGTTTGGGATCTTAGAGACTCTTTACTTCCTTATCAGAGACCAATAACCTCACTGGAATGTAATGGAATGGTTCGCAAAAACTAAGCTTTGTCTTAGCATTCTTAGAACATTTGCACAGAAGACAAACCTATGACGATAATGGAATGGTTTAGGTGGAGTTCCTCTTCCCCTCCTGGAAACCAGAGATTGCAGTCATCAGCTTCGTCGATAGCACTGCAATAGGAGCCGTCTGAAGCTGAAGCCATCTCTGGCTGCTGCAGTGATGTCCGAGAATCAAGATCTCCTTCCCCCTTTTTTAAAACACTCAGCCTGAGGCTGGATTGCACTTTTTTTCCCCAGTGAGGTTCATATATTTTTTCTTTTTACAGGGAGAAGCCACATGCAAATGGTGGTCACATATGGTAAAAAAGGCGCCGATTAATTACGCTTTCAGGGCCGAACTAGCAATATCAGTGCTGCAGGAAAAAAAAAAAAAACATTAACATATTCAAGTTTTTAATATTAACTCCTGAAAATGTGGTGCATCCGTCAGTTCATTACAAAACTTTTTTTTTTATTGAAACAATACAATACATGACAGTAATATTGTATGCTTGTAATGGTAACTGAGAGGCTGCTTTTTACCATCAGCTAAAAAATTACAGCAACAAGGTAGCAGGTGTGCCCAGACACTTCCATGGTGAGGTAAAGCATTCCGAACTGCTTAATTCAGCAAATCCTGTGGAAGGAGTCCTTTGTCACTTCAGGTATAATGAGTAACCTTGGAATATGTCTCAAGGTTCCCATTTCAAAACCTAACGGCAAAAAAATAATCACTTTATTAAAATGAACATTGCAAAGCTGTCTTTAATGTTCCACAAACATTTTTTTCCCTGCAAAGGAACAAGTAAAGGTTTATTCCATGCTGAAAGGAGAATAAACAACGTTTCAGCTGCGGAGCCTTCTTTGAGTGTGGCACCAGAAGAAGGCTCCACAGCAGAAACATTGTGTTTCTTTCCTTCTCTTTCCAGCATGGACTAAACCTTTACTTATTCCTTTGCAGCCTACGCCTGCTGACGCAGCTTGAATTATTGTTTCCCCACTGGTAATGTGTTTTGGAGTTGATTTGCTTTTTTTCAGGGTGCAGGTGAGTGACGACAGTCTTATCTATACCTGGGAGCAGGTAAAGGTTATTTCCATTCCAAAGAAAAAAGACACAAGGTTGTTTTTTTTTGTTTTCCTTTCAACATGTATGAACCTCTTCCTTTGCAGCCTACGTATCCTGACGCAGCTACCTACTTGAACTTATCTATACTTACCCAGAGATGGGTCAGTCCCTCAGTAAAAATGCAAAGGAAAGTACTGTAAACTGAGTGGTACAGTATATTTAAGATAGGGGAAAAGGCTAGTTAACACCTAATAACTCAAAAGAAAGTAATGATCAGGTATGATCTTGGCTAAAGTGTCCTCCTTTCTGTAAACTGTTCTATTTTTTTATTTTTATTGCCAGAACTGGAAGGGTTCATTTTCAGTTTCTTTCACCTTAATCACATGTTGTGTTCTTTCAGAAGAAATAGTACTGGGAGCAATTTAATCCCCATTTCCTTCTGGCTACCAGCAAAAACAGTCATTCTGGAGCTTTGTTCATGGTAAGCACAATACCAGGAAGGGAGTATATACACAGATATTACAAACATA